AGCTCTCAAACATATACGTAGTATTTATTAAATATATAACTATGCAATCATATGACGATATAGTCAAAAAAGAGTTTCTGTGTAATATTTTCAGTTAGTACCTCAAGTTCAATGCGTCTATTCGTTGAAATTGAGGTCTTTGTCGACGGTGTATGATCATCTATCATTGTTTCATAATGTTTCAAAGTAACATTGTTAATAGTTTAATTAAATGGAAGGTTTTCTTTTCTTGGTACAACTAAATTTATAATTTTCACATGTTGCGATTTCCAGTACTAAGAGGAATTCACAATAATTCTAAAATGATAGAGTTGTGGAATTCACTAATGAAGGAGCGACCCCCTGAATGCTTAAAACCTTCCAAAAAATCACCTGAACTTAAGCTTAAATTTCAAACCACCCCACTCAACAACTAATCAGTTTTCTCCATTGAGCAAACGCCCGGACAACGATAAGGAAAAATAAATTCCTACAATCGCGTGCTTTGCCAGATTTCCATTTCATATAATTCCGAATCGAGGACTAACCGGCGCCCCATTAATACACCACCACGGTTGCTCTAAAAGCGGGACCAGAAAAAAAATAGAAGCAAAAAATACGTAAGGATGGGGGTGGGGTAACAATAGTGGCACCCTTTTGGCTTGTAGCCAACCGTTATTAAACGGCCGGAATAAAGGAAATATTTGATCGAACGAAAAAAGGGAGTTGGAGGAATAGGCAACGATTGAAATTGCTGGAAATCGGGTCATTTCCTGGCTTTGATACGGCTTCCGGCAATCTGGGTATATTACAGAGGAACGTGTACAACGAGAATTGTTTGTAAAAGGGATTTTTTTGAATATAGTGAATGGCTATATTTGCTGAAATGAGCCGGCTTCTTTTAAAAGGAATATAGATAAAACTTCTATTTTTAAAATTCATTCAAAATTAGCTTTATGAGCTCTCAGACATATACGTAGTATTTATTAAATATATAACTATGCAATCATATGACGATATAGTCAAAAAAGAGTTTTTGTAATATTTTCAGTTAGTGCAAATTTTCAAGTTCAATGCGTCTATTCGTTGAAATTGGGGTCTTTGTCGACGGTGTATGATCATCTATCATTGTTTCATAATGTTTCAAAAGTAACATTGTTAATAGTTTAATTAAATGGAAGGTTTTCTTTCTTGGTCCAACTAAAGTTATAATTTTCTACATATTATGACGGTACTAAGAGGAATTTACAATAATTCTAGACATAGATGACATTTACCCACTTTGATGAAAGATGCATTAAAGTGGCACTCAGTCGTCCGTCACATGGATGGCATCATTCTAAATAAAACAAAATACAACGAAAACTATAGAGCATTAAATTTTGGATTTAATATACAGGGTGGTCCGAACTGTAATCCGGAAACTACGGCGGCATATTCTGTAGATAAAAATAGGTAAAAAAGTTCGTATAAATGTATGTTCTAAAATGCTGAGTTTCGGAGATACAGAGTGTGGAAGTTTAATTTTTATTTCGATTTTTTCCAAATAATTTCTGAAGTAACGTCAATATTTGGATCAAAATTGGTATCTGGTAGTTTTTTGACATGAGAAATTTGATTTTGATGTCATTATGACTCCTATTTCTAGAGGGCGCCACCTACATGTGTTTTAACTGTTTTAAAGAGTAATAACTTTTTGGCCGTACCTGTATAGAATTACTAAATAAAAAAATATACATTTTCGTAATTTTTACGTAAAAAATGTCTCTTGGTAAAAATCGTTAAGACCAACTCTTCTCGAGATATTTAGAAGGGAACTAGTCAATACATGTCATTATTGACAAAAAATAAATAATATGTTTAGTAGATAGTTATTTGACTGAAATAACAATTTTGGGAAATTTTTATTTTTTTAAATTAATTGATGATGATTTGACACAAAAATATTTCAAATTTATGATTTCAGTCTATTAACTATTTAGTCAGCATGTTTAATTTATGCCAATGATGGCATGTATTGATAATTGCAATTTCAAATATCTCGAGAAGTATTACTCGTAGCGATTTTTATTAAGAGACCTTTTTTACGTTAAAAACGTCGTAAATGTATATATTTTTTTCCTTAGTAGTGTTATACAGGTACGGACGAAAAGTTATGACTCTTCAAACCAATTAAATATATGTAGATGGCGCCCTCTACAAGTAGGGGTCATGTTGACATCAAAATCAAATTTCTCATATCAAAAAACTGCCAGACACCAAATTTCATCCAAATATTGACGTTACTTCAGAAATTATTTGGAAAAAATCGAAATAAAAATTAAACTTCCACACCCTGTATCTCCGAAACTAAGCATTTTAGCACATACATTTATAAGAACTTTTCTACTTATTTTTATCTGCAGAATATGCTGCCGAAGTTTCCGGAATACAATTCGGACCACCTTGTATATTATGTTAATATAAAAATATTCCGGAACTTGCCATATACATATGCTCTTCAGTGCCAAAGAAAGGTACGTTCCCATTCCTTCCACATCTATATGAAAAAAAGCGGTATTTTAGATAAATATTAATTGCGAGATAGTTTCCATTCTGGATTTTTTAAATTATTGTAGCTGAATTGAGAGATGACAAAGATGTGCTTTGTTGTATTTGTCTGGTGGCGGAAGTGGCAAGAAGTCACTGGACTTGTGACAGAAGCTACTTCCTTAAAAACATCGTTTTGAAGCCTCCAACCTCGTTCAGAAGATGAAGTGATATCCGTACTGATGAAGATTTGTGCCAGTTCACCCTGCAGGAATATTTTAAGGATTTTGAAAGGTATATTCCTTCGAAAATAAAAAAAAATCCGAAAATTGCTTAATAAGAATAAATTTAAACTATAACCCACCCCGGGCCCCGCCTTTTAGGAGGCCTCCGAATCTTAATAAGTAATTTTTTATTCAACTGGCAAACAAGGTCAATATGTGTTCAGTAGTTATAAAGCAGTGTGTAGGTGGAGTATGCAAACCGCACGTATACGCCAACTATAAACAGTATACATGGAAGCAGATATTTACTTAATTATCAATTATCGAGCCCCAGTAATTGTCAATGGCATTTTCTATTTAGGAAATTAAATCAAGGAGTAATTTTCTTTGTTTAAAATATCGAATAATTATTATTTTTTATATATTTCTGAATATAGCCTGAATTTATTTATTTTAGCTTTTAAGTTATTTTTCAATGGTTTCATTATTTATTTTTACCGAATAAACTTTTTAAATTACAACCAATGCACAGCATAACTTGTATTCTAGCTGCATTACTGATGATGAGCAGTGAAGTCTTTAGTATAACGGGGGCCAAGGGCCTGAGACAGCGAAGGGGCCCCTCGGATCTTGGAGGACTTACAAAACCGCGATGTTTTGTCGCGGTATTTCCATGCTAAGCATTTTTAAGAAAACATATTTAAAATTTTTGGACGAAAAAAACTACCTGTCAAAAAAAGTGTACAGCCTAAAAGTCAAATTTAGTGATTATCACAGCCCCTGTGACATAGATAGCCACATGTCTTCTCTTTATGCCACAGTGGCTGTGATAATCACTAAATTTGACGTTTAGGCTATATACATATTTTTGACAGGCAGATTTTTTCCTCTAAAAATTTTAAATATGTTTTCTAAAAAATTCTTCCAAGGAAATACCGCGACAAAATATCGATATAATGTATATTCGATATATCGATATTTTTTTTTTCAAAAACGATTAACGTTAGGTATAGTGTTTAATATCAAAATTCATAAAATTTCACAGAGAATTTAAGTATGTATAATAAAAAATGGGGTCACCCATTTAAAATAAGTAAGTTGCTGTCAACTTCCGGTACTTCCGAAAGAGCCGCCATATTGAAAATATTTTTAATCGATAGATCTCATTGTGAAACAATGGTATGCACAAAATCTCGTATCTATAGGGAAATTGGAACAACTTTCGTTGCACGTCACCAATGACACCATGCGTCGTCTTATGGAGTTTGCTGGTGGTCTAGTCGTATTATGATGTGCAACGAAAGTTATTTTAACACCCTGGGACACCCTGTATAAATACTTGAATTTTGTCAGCCATTATACATACGTCATTCAATTTTTACAAAATGTGCATTAGAACTATATCATTATCTAAACAGACCGGGGGCCACATTTAGCTTCGCCGCCCCGGGCCCCCGACAGGCTTAGTCCGCCATTGGACAGACTACAATATTTTTTATCAAAGTAGGCAATACTAGCGCACATTATAAAAATATTTTCATAGATATACAGGGCGATTCGAATATATTTTTTCACTAAAGTTGAAGATATTTTTAAATAGAATGCTTAACAAAATAAAAACACTAGTTGCAACCAAAGAAAATGCATACTTTAAACCTTTGTTTAATAAACTCCTTCACTAGTTGATAAATTAATTAGAAAACGTAGGTGTAGGTTAATGATTTCTGAAAATTCGACTTTTCAAGTGGAGAAAGATACGTCTAAATATTTTTCGATACCGTTTGATAGAGAGTTATCCCGTGGTCTAAAAGGAATTTTTAAGAATGTCAATTATAAACTTGTGTATAGTGCTAATAATAAATTACAACAATTATTAAGTAATCCAAAAGATAAAACACCTCCACTGGAAAGGTCCGGTATTTATGAAATTTCTTGTAAAGATTGTAATCAGAAATATGTTGGGCAAACTAGAAGATCAATATTAACTAGATTTAAAGAACATTTAGCTCAGATAAGATATGGTAGACCGGATAAATCTTGCGTTGCCGAACATATTGTTGATAAAGAACATTGTATAGATTTTAATAATTTAAAATTAATTAAACAAGTCTCAAATTACAGGCAATTAGATGCATATGAAAGCATCAGAATTAATAAATGTAAAGATAGTATGAACAGAGTCAACGGTCCGATTCCTTCAAGTTCTTTGTTCCTACTACTCTAGTGGCGGAAATCTAACTGTTACGCTCAGTTGGCTCTGACCAAAGACATCTAAATATAGGTAGACAGAACACTCCATTCATAAAACTCAATTTTTTAGAATCATACATGGTTTGGCACTTTTATGAGAGTTAAAAAGAGATGGGTACATAAATATGACAACACGGTTGAGTTTCGTCTGTCTTTCTGTCATTTCACTCCATCAGTGGCGTGACGGTGGTGTGGTGTTTTTTTATCAAAAATTTTAAAATAGTTATTTTGTGTATTTTAATTTAAATTTTAATTTGTAATATACGTAGTAATATCGATAATATACAATGTAGGGGCGTTTGCACCAAGTTTTTTAAGCAAAACTTAACACTATGTTTAGCTTATTTTCTTGCACTATGCTTTAATCTAACTTGAATTTATATTTAAATTAAGCGGTCAAATTTCCAGGCTAGTGGTCACTTAACCTATCTTAGACACAAAAATATTGTTTTACGAGGAAGAATTATTGTTATTCCTTTGAGAAAGCTAAAAAATGTATTATGATACCTCTACGTAAGTTCGATGATTACTTTTGATATCCTAGACGTCGATCAGTAGGTATATTCATTGAAAATGGATTTCCTCAAGAATGGATGTAAGGAAAAATCATATTGCCAAGAAATGAACCTCCTTAAGTTTTTAGGACAGAGACTTTTAAACGACACTGTAATATATATCATTATTAATTACCTCGGTTTAATTGAACAAAATCTAGAATATCAAAATGAGAGGTAAGTTGGAATGCTAGTAAATCTAATGTAAGATAAATTAATTATATTTATACTTTGAACCATTGTTCTTTAGTATTTCCAGAAACAACAGCATAACTGCCATAAATCAACAACAATTTTATAGTATATTTGGGTTTCCTGGGATTATAGGGATAGTTGATGGAACACAATGTAAGAAAACATTCACCTGGTAAGTACCTATATATTTTCTTCAATATTTATCAGCACAAGGTTTCTTATACTTTACAGGGGGTATTGATGGAGAGGTATTTAGAAATAGAAAAGCATTATTTTCCCAACATTTAAATTACTGGAAATGCTAGTCTTAAAACTATAGACTTGATTTGCTTGTTGGCATGGGTCTGTGCATAAAGCCACCATTTTTGGACATTAAGGACCCGCATGGAGACTGGTGACTTTTCAAATTAAATCCTGCTTGGTTAGTGGTCCGTATATTTACTTACTGTTAGATCATTTATATAAAATATATTCCTTAAATATTTGAGTAGGTATTCAATTTAGAAATATATTACGAATAAGATGAATTGAAAGAAATTTTTTAAAATTAAATGTGATAATATTCAAAGGGTTCATATACTCTATTAAATTATTTTATTATCTGTTATAAGGTGAGATTGCATATGCATTGAGGGGATATATGCAGAAATAGAGCTGAAGAAATGTTTCAGAATTATCGTTATATGGAAACGCCACTTTCCAATATGTGTTTTATGGTATAAGACCAAAATTACAAAACACAATGTCAGTTATTGTTGCACAACAGTGAGTTAAGAAAAATATTATCTGTTTAATTATAGAACAAAATTTAAAAAATTTAATGTATGTACTTAAATTTTTAGATTTTGTTGTTTCAATGTGCTACACAATACAGCCAGAATGATGCCTGAACAAGAGCTGCCGCCGTTAGATGAAATAAATATGGACCAAATTAATAAGAAGAGAAATAATAATTAGTTTGAAAGATTAGGGCAATATTTTTTTTTAACTTATTCTAAACATGTTTTTATGTTGTTATTAAATCTCTTGAGTATTAATTTCTATAAAATATCATTATTAAATGTCTTTTATTCAGAAATAACATATATTACATTTTTTACATGACAATATAAACACTAATTAAAATTATTAAATAAGTTCTCTTTGAGAACTTTACTGTTCTTTTTTTATTTCAATGTCTAACAACCCTTTTTTTCTTTAGCTTATGTTCTTCTCTGTTTTGAATACTACTACTTTGAATTTTGCCCATCTCCATATTACAAAAGAACAGCCTTTTGTCTAGTAAATTAGTATCATCCCTTTTCTTCTGTTTCTTTGTAACCATCAGTTTTGTTTTGAGACTGAAAAAATATCTAAATATATTGAATTCTCTTCAAAGTAATAAAAAATTCAAAAACACAATGAAAGGTTAGTACTTACAATACCAGTACTCCTATTAGTTTTAGACAATCTATCACCATCATGTTTTTTAATCCCACAATGCTCTTCTCATTTTTACATTAATTGAATATATTATTATCTTCCGTTTTTGCTTTTTGTATACGTGGACCTCCACCAGTTAGTCAAAATATATTTCAATAATTGATTTTCTTTTACATAGTATTTATACATACGTTGTAAGCTTTCCATACAAATTAGAAAGCCCAAAAATCCCGTTTTTCTTTGTGACTATGGTTGACCTTTCTTTTAAAGTAAGTCCAATAATATACAATTTAATTATTTCAAAATTATTAAAAAGTATGTTGTTCTTATATTTTTGATAATTTTTTTATATGAATATTTTGTAAATCCATTCTGAGAGTTAAAAATATCAAAAATATTGTTGAAAACTAAATGGAATTTAGAGGCCTCCTAAGAAAACTCTGGGCCAGTTATGTATCCCTTATAAAATTCTGTTTTCGGCAAATAAAATGACAATGTTAAAGCAAAGGATAGTAGCAGAAGATTGGATTTTTGTGTGGCAGGTCCTTTTAACATTCTTTCAAAAATACTTTGTACTGGTTCAGCTAAGGAAACCTAAAAAAACATATATTATCTCTATTAATGTTATATCTCTATAATATTATTAGTCTTTTTTAGACACATCCAAATTCACTAAAGGGTTTTAAAATTTAGACCTGGGGCGCTATTCTGTACAATCGTCGGTATCGGTAAGTTACCGACAGCTATCGGTACGTGCGGCCAATGAGCGTCGTGTTGATTGTTGTTGTCATAGCTACCGATCGGCCCTTTGGCAGATATCGCAAATTTGTACCGACGAAAATCGGTATCTCTACCGTGCCCTTGTCAACCTCACGGTAGAGATACCGAGAGTTGTCGGTACAAATTTGCGATATCTGTCATAGGGCCGATCGGTAACTATGACAACAACAATTAACACATATTTACTATATGCAAATACGTACCGATAGCTATCGGTAACTCACCGATTCCGACGATTGTACAGAATAGCGCCCCTGGCCTTGTCATGGAAATTAGAACCTTCCATTAATCGTATTTATGCCACTGTCATATGGATTAGTGTATCATTCACAAAATTAGACCAGAACTAAATTTAAAACTTGTTAATGAATCTTGGGGACAGATTTTGACATAATGGCTGCAGGACTAAATTATTAAATGGCTGATAACTTTACATTATTATAGTTCCCCTCCGCCCGCCACTCAAATATATACATAAAATAGTGTGTCCAAGATAATAATTACAAGCACTGGGATCTCAGAAACAGTAAGAGATACAGCTTCAATTATTAGAAATTGCTTTTAGCGATTTTACTTGATTTTTATATTTTTGGATCCTCACATCTAACCTTTGACTTATAACCATTATGTTTTTAAAATGTCACCCTGCATACCTATATTCATACCTGAATCGTCAATTCAGTTGATTCACTTATCAAAGATTTTTCTTTTAAGTAATCAATTAACTGATGCATTGATATTATTTTATTTTTCAATCTTCTAAGACCTATTTGTAAAGTATGTATTTTTCATTTTCTTTGTTTCCAAATTTTTACAAGACTTAAATTTCTACATAATATCATTATAATGCCTCATTAACATACTTCTTTCTGAAATTAAAATAACTTATGCACAATTTTACTTAAGATACAGGGTGGCGCCTCTTAAATGCTACCAAGGAGAAAGAGTTTGTATTGAAATTAAATTTTGGGAGTATATGTAGGTTAATTTAGAGCATTTAAACATATAAATGTGATAAAATATGTGTTTTTTTAAAATATGGAGTTCTACAGGGTGTCGCCAAAAAAGTTACACAACAAAGTTTTGTTTTTTGGAATGGGACACCTTATATATTATTTGATTTTCGGATTCTATGAGAAAAATAAAGGTGAATTTCATTATTGGACTAAAATGTAATTTTATTCCCTTTTATTTGAAATGAACACAGCAAGTTCCCTTTTATTTGAACACCCAGAATACTATTCCGATCTTTTAATTGCAGTGTGCATTCATCAATTAATAGAATGCTTAAGGTCAAATTTTAATTTGGTTAAATATACAATGAGTAAATTTCCATCTAGGTAGCTGTTATTGAAATTTAAAGTTTATTCATTATTTTCACCAAATGTGAAATATGACAAGCCTTACATTTTAGACATATGCTTCTTTAATGAAACTCACCTTTATTTCTTTCCTAGAATCCGAAAATCAATTAATATATAGGTGTTCCATTACAAAAAAAAACTTTGATGCATAACTTTTTTTGGGGACACCCCGCAGAACTCTTGATATTTCTATAAAATGCTTTCCATTATCCTACATATGCTCCCAAAATTACATTAACGATAAAAACCACCGTTCTCTTTGGAGCCTCCGCGTCGTAGGAGAGGCACCACCTTGTATATAATGTAGAGGTAATTTTTACCTTTTTCTGATACTTTGACGACTTTCTTGAGATAATAAATATCCAACTATTGAGAGATCAGAAGATGAGGATTGTCTTACTATGCTGTAAACAAACAAAAAAACATTAATAATTAATTTTTCAATAAAACCTATTTTCGTTTTTAATTTTTTCCTAAATACTAATAATTTCCTTCTATAGTATTAAATTTATCATTAAGCGAGAATGTTTTCTAGTGCAAAACAAAAGCTCACTCATAGAAAATATATGTAAACAAAAACCAACACTATGGCAAAAATTATGTAGTTTATGATCTTATAATGTGGAAAATAATTCCAAATAACATATCCTTGACAAAACATATAAAATAAAAGATAGCTATGTTAATTATACAGGGTTTCTGGATATTCGACCGATAAAGTCTCGTATTTTTATAAAAATTAAGATAGGGAAGTAAACCCATAAAGTGCTTAATTAATAAGATACAAAGTGATATTAGTAATGTTATATTACGTTATATTGTTCTATTAGATATTATAACAGCTTCCTTGAAATCTATTACTGCTAATGACATAAACAAAGTGTCCCCTTTTCTGCGAGAAAGATAGAGATGTCAATTTTTAAATAATTAAGATGGCAAACAAAAGCAGAAAAAATGTTATTTTGAAAAAGCTCAATGTGTCAAAGTATCCCGTCTACTATAGTTACGTCAAAAGTATGATTAAGAATGTATTTAGATTTTTTACCGCAAAAATTGTGTCTACGAAATTTCGCGTCTCTATTTTTTTAAAGAAATACCTGGATATGTCAAAATTAAACTTACATTGTGACACCCTGTATGTTAAAAAGTAAATACTTCGCAAGAGGGTGTACACCTGTATTCAATAAGGCACAGTACACTACTTGACAATAATAGTTATAATGAGAGTATTTCATTTAAAATATATTACATACTAGTTGAAGCCTGGCGCATCCGCCACGACATCAGGAAAAAAAAATACTTATTATTTTTTTTAATTAAATGAAAAATAAAAAATCCGGCGATGAGCCAATTAGCTATCTTTTAGTAAAAAAAGCAACTTTCTAGAGCAAGTCGTTACTTCAGTAGAGACGACACAGATAAACATTAGCATTTTATATTATTATTATATTATATATATTACTTTGTTATGAATACAGCTATATTCCCATTCTGTTAAAAATACAAGAGCTTTTAAGCCTTGTCAGTCAAACATCCAGAATACACTTACAAAGAGCACATACTGGTTAATTCCAACTTCTTTTTCCAATGCCGTTTCTGTTGTTTTGAGGGAAGGGCTTCTTGAGAAGGGCTAGTTTATCTTGTATGATTTTAGGCAAAATCCTGTGAATTTTAATTAATTATCAATATTAAAATACATGTATAAAATGTATCAATGTTCTTACAAATTTGAGGGGCCAGCCAAACTGCCAATCGCGGGACTAGGTAGGGACCTTCTCTAGTCCCTCAGCTGGTCTGGAGGTTCATTTACCTAAAACATTTTTTGGGTGGCGGTACAAACTAGAAGAAAACCTAGAGTAAATACTAATATTAGTACAATACTTATTTATTAACTGTTAAAATGTATTTGACTGCTTTTTACCTGTATGATAAAGCCCCAGCAAAAATGGTACTATCTATTTGAGGCTCAGAATTTGGTCTTATTTGCCTTCGATCAGTTAATTCGGCGATCATAATATTGCTCTTATCAAAATCATCAGAACAAATTTGGACACACGTTAGTTTGATTTTTCAAATTCAAGAGTGAAATCGATCATTGTCTAAGCTCAGTATTTATAGGAACGCTACAAAAGTACTATTGGTTACATATGCAACACATACATATTAAGTATTATAAATCTATTTAATAATATATGTAAAATAATAAAAATATTGGTAAAAAAAAGGAAAAATTAACCTAAAGGAAAAATTTTCCAAGGTTTATTTTCCTCTATTTAAAACACCAGATATGTACTGTGAATTGTGTGTGTGTGTGTGTGTATATAGGTAAATGTGGGTAAAAATGTAAAGGGTTCCAAAACTAAAAAAAAATATCATAAATGAAAGAGTAAAGAATTATCAGAAGTAAGGCTTAGCATTATCATTCAAAACAGTGCATATTTTTTAAGTACTCAAGCATCATTATAATTTTATTTATTTTATTAACTTTTTTAATTTGAATTTTGAATACCTATATCTAAACCTTACCTATTATGTAATTACTTATAGAATTTTTTATAATAAATAAATAATAGATCAATCATATGTGTTACGGTTAATATCTAAAACCTGCTAATGTTAACTAGAGTTTATTAATATTAATATTTAGATTGCAAAAACAGTTTCCTTTCAACATTGGGGGAGAAATGTGGAAATTATCCAGCCAAAGTCGAAAGTAATTATAAAAATTAAATGTCTTTAATTGAACATTAGCTAACTTTGTCATACTAATTTAGCATACATATAGATACATAGTTAATATAGAATATAACTGAATAATTTTGATGTTCAAATCGTGTTCAAATTTCAGGTATTAACTACCTATAACAGCAACAGCTGTTTTATTTCAGCAGATATTAGCCATAACATACACAATTTTTAAGATATTTATAGCGGTTTCGAATGTTAGTTGGTACTTAGATATATAATATAAAAAAGGTTTTTAAATGTTAAGTTGAGAACAGCCAGTATTACCCCTGAGCATTTTTTACCACCAACTGTAACAGCGAAATGGACAAATACTTAAAATAATTGACTTAAAACGTAGATCGGTTTTGCCAAGGTTTTGCCTGAGGTCTAACTGAGGATAAGTCTAATTTCACAATCAAAAACGCCAGCAAATAAGAAAATATACGTATTTTTGTAATAATCTACTTATAACTAAAAGTACTTAGATACGCTACTGTAAAGGCATTGCTAAAGGTAAAAAAATGTAATAACACTTACCGTCCAAATATCAATCAGGAGTTAGAATAGTCCACCTTTCACAAACTATGCACTGGCGAACCATTGTAGATAGTTAAAAAACTACTTTAAATAGTTTTCTTTGCAATAAACACTAATAATTATTCGAAAGTTGTCCGAAATCCACAAACACTTCCAACGGTCGCAGAAAACTCGCAACAATGCTCCGTTGGACAAAAGTTGAATGAATACGTCAAATGTCAGCGTAATTCCTACAGATTCCGACAATTCGTAGTAAAAATTAATCCGTAGCGATGCCGGATTGTTTTAGTAATTTCCCTAATATATTTTAATCGTAATTTTAATATAATTTAATTAGAAAACTAATAATAATTTCAAAGGTATAATCCTAGTATAATTAATGTATTATAATTAAAATTATATATCTACACAAATATTTAGTCTAATGACCTTGTAATGACAATAGCATTTAGAACTCAAACCGTAATCAGCCGAAATCTACCAACGGTCACTTAAAATTGGCATCATCGATTTTTGTGCAACACGGTTCGTGATCGCGGTAAAATGTAAATTGTTTCGTCTCCTTTTATTTAGATGTCTTTGGCTCTGACTCGGTTGGCTAGATTTTGCCACGCCCACTCGGTGCCCACTGAGAGAGTATATAAACGCTCAACTTGTAGATTGTACTTTAGTTTATAATCATCTGCTGATGATGCTAACATGGTTAGCGAAACGCGCGTCCAGTGTAAAAGTAAAAGTGTTTTGGTATATTGTGGTGATTTAGTGTTTTTATTTTGCTGTGTAACACCAAAGGTTCCAACCCTCAACTGTAATCTAGAATGCTTAAGATATATTTTTGCCCAATTTATTGTTGCTCTAATTATTTATTATAGTGTCATATAATTCCCCATCCACTTCAAAAATACTATAATCAGTGTTTTCTGAAATATGACTATTTTTATATTAAATTTTCTGCTCACTGAATTGTAAGAATCTTATGATACCGTCTTAGTAGATTAATTGTTTTCATACTTTACCACGTTATTAAATCAAGAATATTTTTAGCTGACCATACCAATGGGTATGGTCAGCTAAAAATATTCTTGATTTATTCTTCTTATGAGAGGGGGTTAAAAATTTAAAAAAATCGTAACTCCAAAATTACAGTAGCTAGCGAAACGCGGTTTTCAAATTAAGATTAGGAATAATATTTGCAAGAAAATTTGTGATAACATCAAAATCAGTCAAAGTCGCAGTTTTCGAGATATTAACATATTTTAGTATGGGCGGCTATACGTGCCTCCCGGCGCCAATTTTTTTATTATTAGCATAATTATTACCTAATTAATGTAATCAAATAAATATGTGTCATTGGTGGATTTAATAATCAAAGATGCCTTTGTCCCTTAAAATTACACAAAAATAATTCGTTTTTTTATAAGTAAAATTAGGCTTGGGCAACTTGGCACTACCTACATGTACAGGGCGAGTCAACGATAGAGTTATGTTCGTTATCTCATTTGTTTCGAGGTTTACAGAAAAATTTTAAATATAAAAGTTATAGGGAAGGTTAAGATACACATTTTAAAATGATTATAGAATATACAAGGTGCTTCAAAAAAGTGTGGCGGATATGACATATGTTTTTTTAAAAGCAATATTCTATTTTTTATTTTATTTTTAGATTATGTGTAAAATTCCATATTTTTTTTATATATAATGTTATATACCTAAAATTAATAGTTTTTGTAATATTTTAATTTGTTTAAACAAATGTTAAATTGCAGTGTGGTAAAAAATTGTCAGTGGTGCCATTGTTTCTGAAGTACCAAAATTTGGTGGGAGTGTTTTATGAACATATATGTAGAGATATTTTAGTTAAATGATACAGGGTGTTCAAAATATATTTATGAATTTAAACTACTTATTTATGAATAAGTATATACACAAATATATTTATGAATTTAAACTACTTATTAAATTAAAAGATCCCAATTTTTTTAAATGGGACACCCTATTTATTATCATTTTTTCTGATAGATTTTACAAAACTCTTCAACTTTTATTAAGTTTGTCATATACCTATTTTTAATAGTTTGCGATTTATTTCAATTTTTTCTATTTTTACCCATATTTTTAATACAATTACCCTATAAAATCATAGTTGCCATGACTAGACAAACCATTTATTACTTATCTTTAACAACTAGCTTAATAATTAGTTACAACTGCTGGTATTAGTTAAAGTTAATTAGCTTTACTCAAATAAACTAAAATCGCAGTCGTGAATTTCTTGGTGTATTTCTATATTATGAAAGAGACACTTGGCATTGGATTTTCCGTCGGGGGGAATAGCAACAGATTAAGGTAATACTAGATTACCGAATTGTTGAAGAATACCGTATAAGAATTTTCTTTGACATACAGTAAAGTTTTTTTCTCGTAGTAATTCTCGTTTATAATTCATTTGGTAAAGCCAATATTACTACTGCTGTGAAACCGTCCCATTACACACTGAAGATGTTTTCTAGATAATCTACATCTATTCTTATACTCCTTAGCAAAGTATCATATAATATATAGTACTGAACTAAAAAATATGTTTTTCTTGGCTTGTTCGTGTATATCAGTCACATTGACTAATTCATTTCAGGAAAATCTGTAACTATTATCTCTACCATTTATACTTATTAAAACAAATTAAACTAAACTTCAAATTTTGTTCTTAACATGCTTAACAGACAAGACATTTTGATAATTATTATTTTTTGTATTAAAAATATGGGTAAAAATAGAAAAAAATGGAATAAATCGCAAACTATTAAAAATAGGTATATGACATACTTAATAAAAGTTGAAGAGTTTTGTAAAATCTCTAAGAAAAAATGATAATATATAGGGTGTACCCTTTAAAAAATTTGAAATTTCTTAATTTTAAGTAGTTGAAATTCATAAATATATTTTGAACACCCTGTAGCATCTAACTAAAATATCTTTACATAGGTCTTTTTCTATATATCTATAAAATTCTCCTACCAAATTTTAGTTGTCCAACTTCAGAAACAATATCATCACTGACAATTTTTTATCACACCACAATCTAACATTTGTTTAAACAAATTTAAATATTACAAAAACTATTAATTCTGGGTATATAACATTATATATAAAAAAGTTATGGAATTTTACGCAGAATCTAAAAATAAAATAAAAAATAGTATGCTCTATACCCTGTATGCTCTATAACAATTTTAAAATGTGTATCTTAACCGTCCCTATAACTTTTATATTTAATATTTTTTTGTAAACCTCGAAACAAAGAGATAATGGACTTTACTCTATCGTTGACTCACCCTATACAATTATTTAAACCAAAAAACCACAGCGACTACAAGAAAAAAGACCTGTTACCTAGTTCCATCTCACCACACAGGTCAGTTATACGGCCTCTTCATGGCCGACTACCACTTACCCAAACGGCAGTATTGATTCCACATTAGGCTAGCGACCGAAGAATAAGCAGCCCACAAACTTTCTTCTTCATTTAAAGATTACACCCAGTATACTTTTACGTCCATAATCGTCCTGTTCTACACACTTGGAGGTCCTGAAGGGTCGTTTTTTTAAAAACCGAGAGAGAATATCTGGACGAGAATAGAACAAGAAAAATAGTTTTTCTCGCACCGACAATTCGACGTTCTTTCGGCGCTGGAAAAGCTAGACTAGGGGCAATTTTCCCTCGAATCAGGCGCAGAGACCTTAAACGACTATTGATTTTTCCGAGAAGCGTCGGGAAATGACTTATTTTTCAGGGAGTCGGTTCGTAGTTGCCGAGCGGAGGGTAGTTATGAAAGGAGAGAACAAGAAGTAAACGAAGAAAGGATATTAATATGAAAAATCGCCGTAACGTGAGCCCTCAACTAACAAGGTTGTTACTGGAGGCAAAGTCTCCAACAAAATCTAGAAAATACTAATTACGTCAGTCGCATTAATAAAAACAAAATTCTTTTTAAAACGGTATTTACTTTTTAGTATCATCTGTATTTTTATATCTACATCTTTCATATCTACCGGATCGTTTTTACAAGAGGAAAAAGTTTTTTTATTAACATTACAACAATCGTATTCGTATTATTTAAATAGGTTGTAAGTCCAGTTGGCATATAAATTTACATATAAAATGACAGCGATCTTCATTTCATAGCCATCGCTGACGCCGTTTTTTCGATCATATGGTATAATAGCGGATAAAATTATTATACCTGAGAGCAACTATAATTAGTCACAACCGAAAACAAAAATTTTCAATCCATCTAATATATCACAAACTAAATTTGTCTGTAAAAATAGTCTGTGAATATACCGGGTACGTCTCAAAAGTGGCTCACCCCTATAGCATTTTTATTTTTTTCAGATAAAAAAACGAGATTTGGTATGTTAGTATATGACATAAATTAGGACTGATTGAAATATTCAATTGTTTTCGGTTACTTCTTGTTTCACCGGAAATGACTATAACTTTTGATTTTTAAGTGGCACCCCCGGAATTTTTTACTTTATTCGATAGAAAATGCCACTCTGAATATAATATCATATGTCAACTTTTTACATTTTCGCATATGGTTTATTTGAAATTATAACTTGTGGTTCGTAACGAAAATTTGACTTGAAATACCAAGTGTGTGGTATCAAATTATTCGTAAAAAATGCTTTTTCCAAATATGCTAATGAGTCACCCTCGTTCCATTTGAAAAAGTTGAGATATGATTAAAAATACGATTTGGGCATCTTATAACGGGCCCGGACAAGACACGAAAATCATTAGACGCTCAAATCTATTTTTCCAAGGCTCCTTGATTAAAAATTATTAGTGCTTTTAACACATCCATAGCACTCTAGATGTTTCAAAAGTTGACATATGATATGTCATTCTATTCAGAGTGTCATTTTCTATAGAATAAAGTAAAAATAGTAAAAATATACCGGGGGTGCCATTTAAAAATCAAAAGTTGTAGTCATTTCCGATGAAACAGAAAGTGTCCAAAAACAATTGAATACGTCAATCAATTCTAATTTATGTAATATACTAACATACCAAATCTCGTTTTTTATCTAAGGAAATAAAATAGTTATAGGGGTGAGCCACTTTTGACACGCACCCGGTATTATAAATCTAAAACTATATTAAAATATTATTATGTAAAAAATAATATATAATTATGAAAATTTAAACTAATAAATTATTCTGCTGCAACTACACATAAGCATAAGTATTTTCCAAGGCTTCATAAAGATGGCGGGGCCCGGACTGCGATTCAGTTGCTAGACAAATATTACTTCAATTGCGAATTGTAACTGCGAATGTGATTTTGCGATCTATACAGGGTGTCCCATAAATAAGTGAAAGTATTTTACGGGGTGGTAGATCTCGACAAAAAAACATATTTTCTCTTTATCGTTTTTCAAATAAGTCCAAAATAACGGAGTTATCTTACTTTAAAAAATTCCAAAAAAAATATTTTTTGCTAACATTTTGAGAACCACTCGATCTTTTCTGGATTTTCTTTCTTGTAAATTTAAACTAATGCCTATGTTGCCATATTATCAAGAAATTATGTTTTTTAACTAAAAACAATTCCAAAAAATTTCGAATTTTCAAAAAAAAATTTCGCGAAAAAAACTTCATAGAATGAAAAGGTATCGCAGGTTGCGATTGCGAATTTACAATCACTGCGACTAAATCACGGTTTGCGATTTTCTGCTCATCTCTAGTTTTTAATATTTGAAACCGGATATTAAAAATTTAAGTTTAAGCCAGAGACAAGAATTTAAATTATGGACGACTTAAAGAACACTAACAGTAAAGTGATTAACAATAAGAATGTGCAAAAAACGTGAGATTCTCGATATAAATTGTTATAGATACCCTATGACAATCAATGACCTATAACTTCACCCATAAATTTTACATATAAAATGACAGCAATGTTAATTTCATAGCCATTGCTGACACCGTTTCTTTTCCATAATATTGTACCGTATGATCGAAAAAAAAACGGCGTCCAGTTGGCTTGGAAATGACGATCGATGACATTTCCCATATAAAATAACAGCGATCATTTCATAGCCATCGCTGACGCAGTTTTTTTTCGATCATATTGTATATCATTAGTCATTAGGATAAAAATATACATTTTACCTGCTTTTATATAAATAATGTCTTTTACCTACCTACCTACAACAAAACACCCCATATTAATTACAGTTCTTTTTTTAACTATTATTATACTGTGTGATCCAAAAAAAAACGGCGTCCAGTTGACTAGGAAATGACGATCGATGACATTTCCCATATAAATTTACATATAAAATGACAGCGACCTTCAGTTCATAGCCATCGCTGACGCCGTTTTTTCTCGATCATACGGTATTATACCCTCTAAATTATTTTACCTAAATTTATTTAATTTTATCGAATTAGTTTACTTTCTATTACTCTTATTATACATTTCTATTACTCTCATTATACATAACGTTTATCTATTCCATATACTTAATAATATGGAAATGTACCTATATTGTTTGATCTATCTACTACTATAAAAGTATCTTTCCTATTTATTCCCTTTCTTCTTATTGTAAATCAATTTATAACAAATGAACTATATTAAATTCTTGAACCTTAATCAATTCCATAACCTACCTATAATCCAGAATTTTAATATATTACTAGCATAATGGCAATTTGTAAATAAACCAAACTAAACTAATCTTCAGATGAAACACTACAGTAGTATAATTTACTTAACTCAAATTACTTTATATAGTAGACCTATTTTATGAAATTTAATAATTAAAATAAACACCCACATACAAAGTAAATTCATTATTTACCTGTCGTGTTTTCCATCGTTATCCAAAGATCTTGTAGCTAACCTAACATCAGCTTCTGGCCTGTAGAAAAGTATACAATACGCCTCACTTTATTACTCACGTTTTATTCAAAATTAATTTGAAAAAATTATTAATATTAATAATGAAATTTATCATTTTTCTCTTTCAAATTTGCTTTAGGAACGTCAGTGTCAATCTGTCAATATTCCACTCACATTCCACTGTCTGGCCACTCCCCACTTAACGGCGAGGATCAGGCAACTAACAATACATACAAATTCCAAATAAAATCTTTTCCATGTATTCTTTGTACTTGTAAACTATGTACACATGATTAAAAGAAAAACAAAAAAAAACTTCAGAGAAAAAGTCAGGAAACTTTTTTATTAATAAAACTGTCGTATTTTACATCTAGCTGTGCACTCTCTTCTTCTAATTGTCTTAATTTCTCTTTAGCTTGTAATATAATATCATCAGTAAAACTATCAGAACTTATACTTAGATTTTCTGGGGACAAGTATTTATTATCTTGGTCATCTTCTTCTTCCAACATTTTAATATTCATAAAATTTATTTTTTCGTGACAAATATTAATTTCCTTTAGTAAATCAGTACACTGAGTTGTTAGTTTATTAATTACAGCTTTTTGAGAGTTGTTTTCATCTTTTAACACTTCAATTTCTTTCTGATACTGATTATTAAGTTCAATAGCCCTTTCACATTCTTCTTTACAATGATCAAAAGAACACAAAGTAGGCATTATATTTTCTTTAGGTATTTTCTCTACTGACAATTTGTTTATTTCTTCTAAAATCTGGTATTCGACTTGCAATTTTTGAAACTGTTTTTCCAAACTTCTTTTTTGATTATAAAGCTTATCAATTTTTGATGCTCTGTGGTCCAGTTCTTTTTTAAACTTATCAACTAATTGAATACATTGGGATTCAAATGATTTCAATTTTAAATTGTAACAATGCTTGATGTTTTCCTTTAAATATTTTTGAGTTGAGGGCTGTGATTTAGAAGTATGAATAATTTGAAAAATATTTGTCAAGAATTCATCTACATCATTATCATCTGCACTATTAAAACTTAAATCATGTTTATTTTCTTTAGGCACCACTATATTATTACTGTAAAAATTCACTAAGCAACTTAATAATGAACAGTTATGACTTAAATAGTTTTCAACAATATTTAAAAACTGTTCAGTTTGTTTAGGGAATCCTATTAACTCTAATATATTTTCCAAATTTTCTTTATCAAAAACTTTGGAATGTTCACTGTCTGTAGAAACACTCCTAAATAATTTTGCTTCTGGTAAAATATTTGTTAATTGAACTTCTGTATTGAACACAGACAATGTGAAATTGCACTTATTTTGTAATAAATATTCAGCAACAATCAAATGAACTGCTTGCTGAGCAAGCGAGTAAACTGGTTTCTTACATATATTATTTCCAATAACTGTACTTCGTAACATATTAATCATTTGAAACTTCAAATATGATTTCATGTCTAACAAAACACCTTTTTCTTCAAGCCAGGAATTCAAAATTCTTTTAAATTCTTCTGAAGAGAGTTCCTTCATATATATATCATCTTTCACCAAAATTGCTGGCTTTAGGTTCTCCATTAATTATTATTTAAATGTATTTTCCTGTTAATAAATATATTTTTGATAACAAATTAAAACTTGTTTACATTTATGTTAGGTTATGTTTATTTTTGATTGATTTTGTTCCTGTCAAAATATTTTATTATGACAATTTGTATTATCTATGGAGGGCTTAAAAAAGGAGATTTATCGGCAATGGGCAAATTTGAAATTTCTGTCCCCACTTTTAAGCAGCTTCCTCGGTTTGACAGCAGAGGCACTGCGATCGACTGGGATACTACATTTTCATTGTTAGTATACGATTTAATTGTGTTTTTAATAAAATTTATAGTTAATTTACTTAAATTAATTAAAAAAGAAGAAGGACATTCCTCTTCTTTTTTTAATCGATTTAAAAGCCTAACCTACTAGGACTATCCGGCCTATTCCTCTTTTTTCCGAAGTTTAAGTACATTTCTGCCAGAGGTGCCCAAACTTTGATATGTACACAAAAAATAAACAATGGAAAAAATAAACAAAATCTTAAATAGTCATGATTTCACGAATCTGTATATGTCTTCTATGTTTCACAAACCGTGCAAAAAACTGTTGTTTTCTGTTACTTCCGTAGAATACATCACAAGTATACAATTACGGCCACAGCTCCAGGATTATCCGACATGCCACTACGTAAAAAAGTAATCAGTGATCAGCCCATAACTTCTTCTTTATTACTATGACCACGCCACATGCCCATTCCTACTAATCTTTAAAGTTTAGCTGGCCATCTGCCATTAGGAAAAAGGTGCGAAGAAGAAGAAGATATTGTTCACACTCAACCGTAGGTAATTAATTCTACCACCCGGCCGGATAGCCCTGGCAGCTGTGGCCATTAAACTAATATACTACTTAACCAATTAAATAAAATTTAATAATATTCTAGTTTAAAAATGAATACTTTAAGAAAATCTTTAAAATTAACACATAACTTAAAATGCCTTAGAAAATATAGCAACAGCTTGTATGAACCAGATTATTTAGACGTGTGTCTGTGTACAACAATAGTAAATAAATTTTAATTCTAATTTTGCAGGCATTGAAACCAAAAATTCCTTTATATGAGGCGTTAAATATCCAAGTCAGAGGATATGATTATCCCGTACTAGAAAATTATCAAAAATACTTACATAACATTATTAATAACATGGATATTAATGTGGAAGATGCATGGGCAGTCCCAGCTCAAGTTATGAAAATTACAACTTATAAACCGCAAAGTGAGGTTGTTGATGGCCAGTATGAACTTAAGACATATGAAAGAGTTATACAAGTAACTGATATATCCACTGTTCAGGTATATTTCATATTTTCTTATACCTAACAAAAAGTATAGCCTGTATAATGATCCAAAAAGAATTCAATTCATAATAAGAATTAATTATTGTATGTATATTGTAGTTTGATTTTAACTAGTAATTTTTAGCTTCCTTTATTACTTCGAGTTATAGAAGCTAGTACACCTGCTGGTGTTACCATAGATGTTGCTGTCCATGATGAATACCATGATAAAGCGAGATATGTACCTGATAGCCAATTAAAAGCATTACAACAAGAATTGGTTGATTTAGGAGGCCCGTCCAAAAAAAAGTAGTATATTCTTTTGTAAATAGATAAATAAAGCACTTATTACACTGTTGATTTTATTTTGATTATAAAATAACAAATAATGATTAATTTAAAAAAATAAAAATTTTGAAATATATTTTTCAGACTAGCTGTGTTCTATATTTTTTCTCTATAATTTTTTCATCAAAACATTAATAACTTATATAAATTACCATAGCAAATAATCTAAGCCCTTGAAATAAGACACCTACTGCAAGAATCACAGAATATCCTAATCTCTGAATGTGTGCAAATTGCATATATATTTTTTCTGAAGACATACATTAAAGGAGAATTATATTTAACATATAATTGGATACGTTTATAAGTGTATGCATACTCTTAATATTATATATTTCATCTTTTCAATTTAAGAGTCGATACTGTTGCCCAAAATGTCAAAACACGGCTTACATACCGGTACAGCTTTATGTGTATTATGGCCAGGCAGCACTGCCTGTTTACTAATGCATCTTACACAGAAAATTTCGCCACATTTCCGACAATGGTTCTGTTTAAAAAGAAAATATATTTTAGCTTCAAATATATGTTTAAATAATTTTATACCTTTTTACTGAGATGATCAAATGCAGAAGAACAACTGCACTCGTTTATATTTCTCAATGCCTTCCAGTCAATTGCTACTGAATCAAATTCCTTCGAAAGTTCATCCATTTTTGGAACATTTTCGGCCTGACTGCTGCTTTCTGTGTTTAATACAATTTCTTAATATACAGCTGTATAGTTTTTAATTTATTTTATTTAAAAAAAAAACATGTTACTAGGGATGGGATTTTTATCAATTTATCTATGATTATCAATATATATTAATAACAATAATATAGATAGTTTATCTGAGATAACTTATTGATACTATCAATAAGTTATCTCAGATTTTACCTATCAATTTGATAGGTAAAATCATTACAGCCCATCCCTACATGTTACCTTTTAAGGGATGATCATGATCTGAAGACTCAAGTTTTTTGGAAGATTTCTGATATGCCAGTTTGTTGTCTAAATGAACATTATTACACAACTGCTCCTTTTTGGGTTTTGACTTCTTTTTTTCCATCGTTCTAGATATGAGATTTCTTACTGACGTTATTCTCTATAAAATATCAAGTTAAAAATCCTCATATAGCATAGTTTCACTAAAATAACCTTTGTTAAGTATTTTACATGGTCATCTAAGGAAAAAGAATGATCTGATGTTGCCAGCAATAAATCTGCCATAGACTCTCTGGGATGCACACCACTTTCAAATCTGTAATACATTCCTCTCCAAAATCTACAAAAAGTATCTTATAGAAAAAAGTAATTTAGGGTTGTAGTAAAATTACCTTATATTTTGTGGTATCAATTGAGGAATAAGAACTTTTGGACTGTCTTTAACATCATAGAGTGGATTTATATATTCATCAAGATGATTAGCCATATATCCCCATAAAGAGTATGTCCTCTCTGAAAGCCTGAAAATCTAGAATATTAATCTAAAATACAGAAACAATATGACCAAAAAATTTTATGTTCAAACATGTTTTTAGTATTGATGTAATAGGTAAATATTTTTTTATCAAAAGCTGTTTTATTACAATCAATTTTTGGCGAGGGTAAATGATCACCTTAAGTCAACTCTGTCCTTTTCACAATTACCAATGAACGTTCCAAATTGGCAAGAGTGAACATGATCATGAATAGTCAACAAGAATGTCTCGTTAAATTGGAATGTACAAGGAAACTGTTGCATCAATTGCCATGTGGCATCTAACAGTTGTGTAAATACAGGTGATATTTCTTTGCTGTCACTCTGTATATGTCCACAACGTTCAGAGAATTTATGTCCAAATGCTAGCCAGTCTTTTTCAATAAGAGCCTTTAAATTAAATACAGTTATTCCTTTTCTTGTAAAAAACAAGCATTTAAAATAATTTTTTACCTGATAACCAGATATTGTTCGGTAGTGTGGATCTAACAGTAAAGATGCAAGCGAGCAAACTTGGGCTGTACGGTCCCAGCCATCAGAACAATGAACAACTACACTAATTCCTTCTTGAAGTGCCTCAGCAATAAAAAGTGAAGTATCTAATATAGATTTAATGTGTCTCAACCAACCACTCGATTCGAGACCACTCAAAAAACTATTCATTGTAGGATTCTTCTGTTCACAAGCTAAAATATTATGTTAAATATGTTTATATATTTCCATTTTACTAAATACACTGTCATACTTTCAACTATTTTTAACATACTGTTCCTCATTACATGAATATTCTCTATACCCAAAAATTGGAATTTAATATTTTCATAGAATGCTTCATTTTCATAACCCTTTCCAGTAGCCCTGTTTGCCATTGCATTGATCTAAACACCACAGTTAAATTAGAACTTTTAAGAGATATATTAAATATATATCATACTTTTGGCCTAGTATCAACCACATACATATAATTGGAGTTGGGATTCGTTTTCAAGATATGATTAAGCATGCATTCATCTTCATCACATCTGGCACTAAATCCAGAAAGTGGCTGACTACAACGACTAATACTGGATTTATTATTATGCAGATAACTTAATACTGGTAAACGGCCTTTTGAACGGAAACCAGAACTGCCTCTTAAAGTTTTTTTTGTAGCGGAATATGGAACAAATAGATGTTTTGGATATGTATCACACAACTAAAAATATAAAAAATTATATTTGTAATATACACTAATTAATTTTATCCAATTCATCAATACCTCATACCTATTATTATAGAACTAAGAGCTAATATACCTCATAGTCTTCATTTAAATTAGACAAAGACCACTGTTCATTAGGAACTCCCATTCTTTGGTATTCTGACTGAAAATCAAAAAATGTCCATCCCACATTTTTAGATATTTCTTCTATTGGAGCTTTATAAGTGAAACAATACAAGTCTTCAATATTGCTAGGCTGGGACAGCTGTTGCAAAGTGAGATAAATATCATGGCAATCCCTTTCTCTTGGGATTACAAATGTACTCGAAAGAAATGTTTTGGTTCTTATGAGTAATGGTGATCCTGTAGTTGTTAATGGTAATTTTTCCAGACTGGCAATATGCATGTGTAAAATCTAGATTAATAATACAGTTTTAAGGATACATGCTTATTAACAAAAAATAAATTAAACAGGAAAATTGATTTTTTATGCCATTTAGCATTCTTAAGAATGTAGCAATATTACTCACCCATGTTTCCTTTTTAGCTTCAGGATCTACGAAAATTAAGTGTGTCGCAGTTAAATACAATGTTCCCTGAGAAGAAGCTTTAGAATATCTGTCTAGCATACGAACATTTTCTACCTAAAATTGAATAAAAGAGAAAAACACAAGACTGGTTATTAGAATATACCTTTGGCGTCTTAATATGTTCCATCACTTCAATGATGGAATTGTTTGTTAATCAGTGTAACAATAGGAGTCAGCCAATACAATTCGGCCAATTAAAGTAATAATATTATTACCGCCAAGTGTTTATTTACATATACACCCGTAGAGAAACTTTAGCAAAACAGTAATGAATGTCGTATGCACCTAGCACAAGAATAACAATTATTCGGAAATCAGGGACCCGCCATATGAAGAATTGAAAAACTAATTCCAACTAATTACACTTTACAATAATTGATTACAACAATTTACAATTACCTATTTGTCTGATTTGACACTTGACTTTGACATTCATATGATCTTCTTCTTCTTCTGAAATATGGCCACTTGCCTTTACAGCATTCAGCCAGCGTTAACCCAGCACTTGCAAAATGCTTGCAAATTCAGATAATTTGTTGTTGCCAGGTTGTGGTTGTGGCATGGTTATGATTGTGGCAAAGATTGTGGCACCTCCTATATGTTCATATTTTGTTTAGTTCATATGCTGATATGTGTTGATAATATGATCCTTGTTTATTATAAAAACAAGGATATGATGTTGATGTTGATTAGTTCTGTCAAAATTAAAAGTTTACAGTTAAACGTGGAAAAAATCATAAATATTAGAATTTCAATAAAATATATAAGTTTTCATTTTTATGTTATGAGTTTGCAATATTTGGATAAAGTTATAGTTTGTAAGTAGGTGCTTATAATATGTTGAAATCAAATACAACAATAAATAATGACCTTAAAAAGTGTGGTCAACATTTCTTTTTTAAATTTATAAATTGAATAATTTTAGTAAGTTTATAATTCTTACGATCGATGGATACAGACGGTGACGCCTCAGTAAACAATATAGACAAATCTGAAAGTAAAACCAAAGCTAATACTGTTTATTTTGGTGTATTTATACCCTACGATAATAGTAAGCAGCCTAATGTATTTGAGGACAAAGATGCTGCACTGAAAATAGCAAAAAAGTTTAAGAAGTCTAGATTTAAAGCCTTTCAATTTTATCATGAAGCAGTGGAATTTTCATATAATGGAGCAGAACATCCAAATAATACAGTTTCTATTGATGGTATCGAAGGCGAGAAAAAAGAAAATTCATCTGCAGGAGAGAAAGCTAGTCCATTTAGAACTCCTAGGCCACAGGAATTAATTGAATTTCGAAATAAAATTGAACATGGAAACCTTATTAGCATTCAAGAGATGATTGAATACAATCCTCGTTATTTAGTGAGCAGTGGAGATACTCCATCAATTTTACAAGTAAGTATTTGATATAATGAATTTATTATGTTTTTTAAACAATTTGCTTGCAGGAGGGTGCAAGACTTAATGCTCTACATGTAGCTGCTAAGGAAAGAAATGCGGCTGTCGTTGAACTAATTTTAAATACCATTAGTAATCCAGATTTTATAAAAAAACTTTATGGAGATGATAACCAAGAAAATGCTGAGCAAAGATGCAAAATGCTTCTCGATCTTTATTTAAATACGCCAACTAAGGGTGCTAATGACACACCGTTACACATGGCTTCAAAATGGGGAGCCGAGAAAGTGGTGGAAGTGCTGCTGTCTTATCCCGAATGTGATAAAACAAGAAGAAACAAATTTAACTTTTTGGCTGAAGAGGCAGGTTTATCTTGATAAGTTTAATAATAATTTATTGATATGAAAACCACGAAAAAATTGGGCATCCATAAGTCAGCAATATAACAAAATAAAATTTTAGCTAAAAATTATGCATTGACAATGCTTAAAATGACATAAATGAGTTTTTAATGTGAAAATAGGGATATTCGCATTTTTCATGAGGAACTTTCATGTTTAGTATTTTAATGTAGATGAAACTGTTTATTTTTAAACTTTGAGAACAAATGTACCTAATAAAAAGATTAAAAAAATATGTATTGTATAAGCTTCATGCTTTTTTCAAAATTTATAGTTTTAATATTAATATTTTGATAAGGAATTTAAAACTTTGGATATTTTTTTATTTTATTAATATATTTAAATAATTTTTAAATATACTGAGTAAACTAAAGTTTAAGTTTCAAAGTTTTAATACTAGTAATCTCTATATTACATTAGATAAAATAATTAAAAATTTCAATGTGTTCATGGTCCCCAATTTACACTTGATTACGGAATTCAAATTTATATATTTTCGGTTAAGTGGTAGAATAGCTATTAGCGTTGATTGAATAAATAAGAAGATGCGCAGCCATATGGGCGATTTCGTGGCACAAAACCTGTCCGAGATGTGGCTGGCGTTACCGTCGGCCTGTCCGAGAATTCCGAGATTTAGTTTAGCTCATCGCCGTTGCGCGCTGTTCGTTCTGCTTTCGGTCGACAGAGTAAGTGATTGCCGGAGACAGTGTTGTCAGAACTACTGATTAATCCGTAGATTTACGGATTTTTGGTACAGTACGTTAATAATACGGATTTTCTATCATTAAACAATTTAATATAAAATTATATGATTAAACAAAGAACGGCGTCAGAGTTGGTTTGGAAATGAAGTTCACTGTTATTTCATATATAAACTATTATGATAAATGTCAATAATCGTCATTTCCAAGCCAACTAAATGACTTTTCGATCATACAACATATTGGGTACCTATAAAAGAATTTTTATTTTGGATGTTTTTCTATGTTTAACACAAATAAATTTTCAATACATAAACGCGGATTTTTAATCCAAAGATACCGTATGATCGAATAAAAACGGCGTCCAGTTGGCTTGGAAATTACGATCGATGACATTTCCCATATAATTGTACATATAAAATGACAGCGATCTTCATTTCATAGCCATCGCTGACGCCGTTTTTATTCGATCATACGGTATATTCGTCAAACATATTAAGATATTACACATTTTAATATGGCAACACTGTCACTTTCAGATCGACACTGTCTTCGATATACCTTCACTAGCCGAATTAGAGGAAAAAAAGTGTTTTGTGCGTTGACCGCAAATCAAATCAGCCTTGTCACGAATTCGCCCATTAGATTGAGTATCTTCCCAATTCTTTCAATCAACGCCATTAGCTAAACTTCGCCCACATTTTCACTATCTTTTTTTTAGTACCTACAATAAAGAGTTTTTTTTAAATTCTTTATTTATATATTTTAATATAGACACTACCAGTAATTAAACCGTGAATCTTTTTTTTATTTTTGAAATTATTTTTGCAGTCAGAATTTTCTGTATTCTAAGAACAAAAAAAAAATATTAAAAATAATCTTAATATGTCCCAAATTTATAGTTTAATATTAATATTTTTATAAAAAATATAAAATCTGTGAAATAATTGAAATGTTGAGGTGTCTACTTCACGACAATTTTTAGGTAGCTTGTGAAAGAACTTGCAGAGTGCCTTACGGGGTTAAGGAAAGAATACAAAAATTATTATGTGATAACTATTACGTCCCAGTATTGAGAACTGAAGATAATTCTATGCCTCCTTTAGTTGGTGAACCTTTTTCACCTTCCAGTCCTCCAGTATGTTTTATAAGTAACGTTATGATAATTTAAGATTAATGGTAATATTTTTACTATTTAGACTTTGAATAAAGACCCACTCAGTCCAAGATTGGAGATTCATGCTTATGCAGGTCCAATGGAGAGAAAAGAAGCTGAATCTTTCAGGAAAGTGTGGAAAACTCCACCAAGATCACTAAATTTGAATTCACCTCTAGGGAAAAAAACTTTATCCGATAATTTAAGCTCTATAAGATTAAAGGATCCCGAAAAGGGCCTGGAAAGAATAGGAAACCAACTGGCCAATAATTACAACGTGTCGTGGAAGGAATATTGGGAGTTTCTGGATTGTTTCATTGACATTTCCTCTGATGAAGGATTAAATATATTGGAAAAACATCTTCAAAATAAGATGCATGAATATCAAGAGGCTTTTGAAGTATTTTCTCCACTACCGCACAAGTGTGACAGCATTGTGAGTCCTATTACTAGCCTCTGTAATGCGTTTTCCGCTTGTAGAATTGAAGATACGCCTCCGATCGACACAAAACAAACATGTCATCCTCTTGTATATGTCGATAAAGCTTGTCAAGTGTTTGCTTGTCGAGTAGTGTCTAATGTCTCAAGCGTTTTAAGTAGTACTGAATGTGCCTATGTGGGCATCGCAAGAAATTCGGAAACAGATGTGAAACTCTTAGAATTGCTCATGAGTAGCTATATGGAGGATGAAAGGTTTACGGAATGGGTCAATTTTCAAAAGGTCCATTCAAGATTAGCAAATCTTGTGGCTAGGAAACTGATTGACAGTTCAAGTAAAGACTGCAAAAGACTTCAGTTTGTGTCAAAGTTAGATGGATTTTTAGAGAATATTGTGAAAAGGTCAGACTATTTTTCTTCAGATGATGAGGGACCCCATGGAAAGGAAGCTATCAATAAACCAACAGTTTATAGGAAGCAAGTAAGTATAGAACTAGCTATAGATATCATGATTTGCGTTTGTTGAAATGATTGAAATTTTGTTATTTTTTTGCAGCTGTTTTTATTTTTCTACAGCTGTCGGTAATAGGCAATCAAAACACGCCCCATTTTACAACAAAACTGTTGTTTTAGCTACACTGTAAATAAAAGTAAATTTACAAGAAATAATACAAGTATAGTTTCGCAAAATAATCCCATTTTACAAAATTGTTTAGCGATATTCAATGATTATTACCAAATGATACTATTTTCACAATTAGCTTTGCTTGTTTGTAAATGAAATTCAAATCATAAATACCGTTTTGTAGCATGATACAAAGAATACAAGGTATGATACTGCGACTTGTGTCTAGCCCTAGCAGGCAACTGTTAAGCCCGACCAATCACGTTAGAGTTTTTGACAAACACGAATTAATTAACACACTCCAAATAACCACGCTAACCAACCTGATTGGTCAAGCTTAATAGTTGACTGCTAGAACTAGACACTTCTATATTGCGCAGGTTGGTCACTACGTCACAGGTGATAAACGGCACCATTGGTCAGCAAGTTCCGCGCGCCAATTTCAAATTGTCAAAAAATTGTCAAACAGATGACACAATAAATGTGAAAATAATTTTTCAAATGTCAAGCTCGATGATTGACATAACTTTTGGGGTTATTTCCTAATTCTTCCCTATTTTAGGTCTCTTTTTATTAGTGGCAATTGAACAATATGGATATTTTTTTGTATGGCGTATGACGTCACAGGTGGTATGCGCAAACTTAACGAAATTGGAGCCGCTATCGATCATACCTTGTTTTCTTTGTACCATGGTTTTGTAGTAACATTCCATTTTTTTTTCAACTTTATTATGCACAATGCTATAATTATTAATAAGAGCAGTGCTTCTTTACTTACCAAAAACTGATCTCAAACTGTATATATATATATATATATATATATGATACTTCAAAGTCAAATGTTTTGTTAGCAAATAAAAGCAGCAAAATAAAGTTTTGAAATTTAGAGAAGAGTACTAGGACCTTTTTATTCAAACTAAAAATATATTTTAGGTTGTATGCTTATGGTCTAGAATAAAAAATGAATTAGATTCAGGACAAATCTATTCAGATTCTCAGGTTGAGGAACCTCAAATTGTTAATGCCTGGGATTTATTTGATGCCTGCAATTGCATTTTCCATCCTAAAAAGCCAAAGAGAAACAATTTATCAAGAAACAGCAGTTTGAAAAATCATTCCAAGTCTAGAAAATATCATTTACAAGGAATTTCAAAGAAACTCACTTTTGGAGACGATTCATTGAACTCTAGTAATGTGAGTGATACGAATGGGGACATTGGACTCGGCTTTAGCGACAGTTCTAAGTCCGACACAGAAGATGAGTTTTTTACTCCGCCATCTTCACCTTCAAAGCTCAACGCCGACTCTGATTCGAAAGAGGAGTATAGCGATGCCGAATCGCCGAAACTAGAAGTTTTTTTGGAAGGGTACGTTAATAGGAATAGTTTTTTTTTCTTTATAGTTTTCTATTTTGTGTTGTAGAGCTCATCCGACTAAAACTGACTGTGCCGTCTATAACGCCTTGCAATTTGCCAAATGTAAAATTGATGAAAAGACAAATCCTCTGGTTTACAAATGGAATCATTCAATCAGTCTTTACTCGGCAGCGGAGAGAGAAAGGTATGTATATACTTAGGAGGGTAGTCTGAAAAGTTACCGACTTTTTTGAATCGTCTGTATTTGTCTTCATAATCTTTTTGTGAAGGAATACACTTCTTGAAAAATAATATAGACTAATCTAACCCAACAAATCAAAGGTATACAGATTGTTAACTGGACGGTTACTTATTGGGGGACAGAATGGCAACACTGCCTACATTCCAAATGAGTACTAAGCTATGCTGCTGACTCGTCCCGTCGCGTCGTCTCTCGACGAGCGGGCCGAGGTTGCCATATTTTAACCATAAAGCTCTTGCCGCGAGTAATGAAACAAATTAGCAACCTGTATATAAACCAGATGTAAAGAGAAAGATGCTAGTAAGTGCGCGTAAGATACATCGCGGGGAGCATCGCATCGAGATGCCTCAATACTCACTATGTAGGTACCCTGTAAGGAGTTTTTGATTTGTTTACATTTTTAAGTTTTATCTTCCCATTTTTTTTCCTGAAAACCTGTGCATGGACGTTGTGAGACTCATAAATCAAATAAATGTGTCAGTTTTCGGTTTTTCTAAATTCATTTCAACTTTTCTAAATTCAACATTTGTATCTATAAGTTAAGTCCATTGAGTTTGTGATTTTTTACATTTTTCAGTTTCATCTTATGTTTTTTTTGTGAAAAATCTGTGCTTGGACATTTGAGAAAATATATGTCAGTTTTCAGTTTTTCTAAATTCAAATTCACAACATAGTTCGTTACAAGCTATGGTTACAAGTTAATCCTAATTTATGTCATAGGTTAACATACCAAATCACGTTTTTTTTATGTGAAAAAATAAAAAAGTTATAGGGGTGAGCCACTTTTGAGACGCAACCGGCACGGCCGGTATACTGTTTTGTTTAGTTTTTTTTGCTATAGATTTTGTAACATTGGCTTGAATATAGATATTTATTTATTTTCAAGGTTTTTCGCTTTTTGTGAAGAACCTGAAACTAAGCCAATGACGTTGTATCCTATAGAAAGGATTATATTAAGTCTGTAGTCAAATCAAACTGTAAATAAACAAACGCTCTGTGTATCTTTTCGTTTTATATTGTTAAATTCACATAAATCCTAAATAAATCAATGTATACCGGGTGCGTCTCAAAAGTGGCTCACCCCTATAACTTTTTTATTTTTTTTTTTAGTTAAAAACGAGATTTGGTATGTTAGTATATGACATAAATTAGGATTGGTTGACGTATATTCAATTGTTTTCGGTCACTTGCGGTTTCACCGGAAATGACAACAACTTGATTTTTAAATGACACCCCCGGTATTTTTTTACTTTATTCGATAGAAAATGTCACTCTGAATAGAATGACATAGCATATATGTCAACTTTTGACATTTTCGCATATGGTTTATTTGAAATTAAAACTTGCGGTTCGTAACGAAAATTTGACTTGAAATACCAATAAGTGTGTAGTATTAAATTATTCGTAAAAAAATGCTTTTTCCAAATATAGGGGTGAGCCACATATGAGACGCACCCGGTATGTGTAGTCTATCGTTTATACCCATGATTAAGATTACACAGATTGTTTCTCAACCTATACATATAAAAGCGAGGCTGAAAACTTTCTTGACTACCCTCGTATTTTAACGATGCTTTATTTAATTCTATTTAATTTTCAGTTGGCCAATTCCTCATAAACCTACTTCACATTTATTAGACCAAGATGAGCCTCAGAGCCCCCTTGCCCATAAGCCTTCGTGGCTAAGAGTTACGGGAACAAACTCGCCTAAAGCGGCGATCAAGTCATACAGCTACCATCATTGATGATTTTCTGATGTATAGTTAAATCTCTGTAAGGCATTTACGTCCAATTGACACTTTATCTTATTACGTTTAGAAAGAGCATACTACGTTCTTGTTTGTTTAACTTGTTTTAAAGCTGTTATTAGTTTGTTAGTGTAATGTTTTTTCATTTTATATTTAACTTTGTTTCGTGAGACGAAATGCTGTATATTTTAACTTAACAGACAATAATTCTAATTTTTTAATATGTATACAGATCTATATAATTTTTGCATTTAAATTTGAGCACGTGCCAACCACATTTAAAAACAATATTTACAAAGGAAAAATAAGTTCATGATGTAACATATAAATAATGCATTTGTGTTTGGTCTACATGATACCTAATTATTTTACACTGATGATTTTTTCTTAATGATAATAATCCCGCTCTAAACTAATGTTTAAGATGTAGATATATTGGTTGTGCCTAGGAGAAAATGTTCACAAAGAGATATAGATATATTTTCATATTTATTGATAAGTTGCTAAACTATTACATTTTTTATAAAAAAGGATGTTTTATTTTCCCAGAACAAGATATCATTCATTAATAAGTCAAAGGAACACTTAAAAATAATAGTTATTCTTTATTATAGTACCTAGTACAACAATTATTAAATATAAATAATGGAGATGGAAAGACATTATAAATTATTGCACATATTTTTTAATGTGTTTAAAAAGATGTAACCCTTAAATGATATAAAAGTCCGTTAAAAACGCAGCAATAATTTATCCGTTATAGCAAAGGTTATAGCTGGTTATAGCCTCAGGCTGCTACTCCATCTTTACTAGGAATAGGCCTGTTTTGTTTTTTTACAGATAAAAAATAAAAAACAAAAATAAATTTAAATATTTTAACAGCATTTAACGGATAAATCTTTGGGATAAATTATTGCTGCGTTTTGAATTGATTTCCAGTAATTCTATTGGCTGAAATTTTTGACAGATGAATTTTTCCGCCAATAGAATTACTGGAAATCTATTCAAGGTCGTTTCGCCGTTACGCCAATACGCCGTTTTTAGGATAGTGTGGATTTGGTGTGGATGCACCCTGAAGCAAAAAGCATCATAGTAGCAAAGTAGTTCGTTAAAGGTGGATCCTGTCTCACCAGATTAATTAACTTCCAACAAAGTGGGTAACTCTATTAACAGGCCGGATAGTCTTAGCACCTTACGCCTTCATATTTATTAAATAAAGCCATCCCTGTTCTATGGTGGGTTCATACAGCCAAATAAAATAAAATAAGAAATAAGGAATTCTTATTTGTGTGCGTTCATACAGTCAAATAAAATAAAATAAGAAATATATATTTGCTCATGCGCAGTACGATGAGGCTGGATAAAAGTTAACTTTTACGATTGTTTATAGTAATTTTACTATTTATAGTATAATTAAAAGAGAAGAAAAATTGGCCGTTGCCAGTTGCCATAAGAAGAGGAATTTTAAATTCTAACCTCATTTTCTCTATAAAAAAAATAATTTAAAATGTTATCTTTTTTGGGGAAAAATCTCCGGTTAACAAATCATTCCGAAATAACAAAAACCTTAATCAAGTTTTCTAGTCAAGCTGCAATTTCAGAAACAAATAAACCATTAAGGACGAAGGATAACATTCGAAAACAAATTGTTGAATATAGGCATGTGTATCCGGAATTTTTACCCGACCCAAAAATCGACTTTAGAAATGTTTTAAGGGAAAAACTAGAACGATTAGATATGGTAGCGCGAAGAACACAAGTTGATATACCTGAGTTTTATGTCGGTAAGATATTTAGAATGGCAAAACTGTATGCACAGTGGGTGGAATATTTTTGCTTTAAGGTTCTATATTAGCAGTTACTTCATCTGACCCACATACCCCTGGTAAAGAACAGAGATTTGTTGGCATTTGTATTAAAAGGGAAGGTTGCGGATTACGTGCAACATTTATAATAAGAAATGTTATTGATCATCAGGTATAGCAAGTTGAGTTGGCTTGGAAATGACGATCGATGACATTCTCCATATAATTTTACATCAGCGATCATCATTTTATAGCCATCGCTGACGCAGTTTTTTCAATCATATTTTATTTATTTTATACACTTTATCATGATTAAATCTATATGCTATTGTACTATGCAAACAGGGCGTGAAGACATTAAAAAAAACAATGGATTTAACAAACTTTACAGTCTTATATAGGTCATTTGAGTAATTGTTTAAGTAAAGTTTGGTCAAACTCTGTGTAATTTTGGTTAGCATAGCACCAGCATATTATATTATTTTTTATGAATTTAAATTGAGTTAGTTAATTTTTGTCATTAAAGGGCGTTGAAGTTTTATATGAAATGTATGATCCAACAATACACAAAGTGGAGGTTTTAAAATTAGAAAAAAGACTTGATGATGAGTTACTCTATTTGAGAGATGCTTTACCAGAATACAGTACTTTTGATGTCAATATGGATGCAGAAATTCTACCTGAAGGTATCTTTTAAAACTATAGAAATAAGTTCTTTTGATGAAAAAGCCTAACTTAACAAATAATCTTTTATTGATTGAACTTTTAAGGAACTCCAGTACCTATTAATACTATTAAAGTAAAACTAAAGCCTAAACCATGGCTTGAAAGATGGGAAAGAAAAAAATTAAGAGGAGTCCAAGACTTAGGATTACCTGAAAGGTTCTATATAAGGGCAAAGGAATTAGAGACACCGTGGGAAAAATATGATCTAATGAAGGAATATATGTAAGTATTGTAGTTAAAATTTTGTGATACAACTTCTTATTGTTTATGTTGTATTTAGGAGAACTATACCAGAAGAAGAACAAGTGGAAATCTTCAGCGAAGTTCAGTCAGAACTGCATAGATTAGAAGTCCAAAGGAAGAAAATGAAGAGGAAACGAGTTATTGTAAAGCCTAGTAAATTAGCATAGTTATTTTTTATTTTAAAATTAACAAGAAAAAAAATAAATAAATGAGTGTATTTTATTTTATCAAGCAAATAAAGCTCTCTTAAATATACTGGCTAAATTCTAGATTACAGATTATTCTTCATATTGAAAGTTATTACTGGGTAAAATTTCAAGAATATATATTAGTATTTTATGGGGGTACCTAGTAGTGATCAACAAATATCAATTTCTAACAATTTGCCATTGCAAATATCTGCAGCCAATATTTGCAAATGTAAAAGAATGTATTTTATTTTCTAAAAGAAGTTCTATACTATGCATGTTTGCATAGTGGCATCTATGGAATAACATCCTGTATAGTAAGTATAAAAAATATGACAAATGCATTCAGTATCTTGATCAGATATCTCCTTGTCGTTTTGTTTATTAAAATATTCTTAGTTTCTTAAAAAGACTATTTTTAGTTGGAATTAAAAACACTGATAAACGTTTAAAGCTTGATTTTCATGCATCCGTTATACGTTGATACAATGGTCTGACGGTGCTCTGATTGGTCAAAGCGTTTCCGCGCCACTTTTCGTCAGTAAATATTTTACCCAAGCCCGCCAACGGACCCGTTCATACGATAACGGACGTTTTGACACTTTTTTGACAAATTTAATCTAACCTTAATCAAAATATAAGTAGTAAAATAGCAAAATCGTTATGGAAACAAAAATATAAAATGACACCAACGTATATCCGATAAACGGAGGCATGAAAATGCAATAAATTTAAAAACTGCGCACAAAACATCCCCCTTTAGAACTTCGTCTATCATGTTAAGAAATGAAAGTAAATAATAAAGCGCCTCTCGTGTTTGTTCGCACTCAAAAAATTTCAATTAATGCCTGTATATATTTTTAATATATTTTTTTAATTTACATTTTTTTAATTGTAAAGTAATATATTACATTTAAATGGAATATATTACATAACAATCATGTTAATTACAGGATTACAAGCTTGTTTTCTAACATTTTTTAAATAAAACGAATTATAAATTTTCAATATATGTATATTTGTCGTAGGTATGAAAAAAGTAAAATATAAAATGGACAAACGCTTACTTACATTGCAATAAAACTTCCACTTTTAGTTTTGCAATTCAAACACAATATTTCTATTTCACAAATAAAATCCGACAACACTAAAATCACTGAAACTTCCGCGGCTGACAACGAAAACTGAAAAATATAACGGCACTTTTTGTTTTAGACCTGTATATCAACATTACGCTCTATTATTAGGTGTTTGTTGTTGAAATAATATAAATATATATATATATATATATATATATATATATATATATATATATATATATATATATATATATATATATATATATATATATATATATATATATATATATATATATATATATATATATATATATATATATATATATATATCTAATTATAACTTGTAAATTTTAAATTTTAATATTTTAACATGATTTTAACTACTTTTGACAATAACTAATTTTTTGTTACAAGTTATTGTTTGTTTTGTTATATAAAGAAAAAGTTCTAAAGGGGGATGTTTTGTGAAACTGCGTTATTTTCTAACCAATCAAAGTCTTTAAATTCTACCAATAAAATTAATATCGTATCAACGTATCGTCGGACAATGGATGCATGAAAATCAAGCTTAAGAAAAGAACGCGCTTTGTTAATTCATGAGTTATTGTACCATGTCGGCAAGAGATAGTCTTGGGTCGATAATTACATGTCTCATAATGGTGATCTTGTAGGTCGGAGAGAGAAAACTGCGAAGTGCTTCTTACACAGGCACTTATATTTCATGCGCTTGGGAAGATACTTGTTTTTCTTTCTTTGTTCAGCAATATATATCTTATTATACCGAGTGTATTGATTGTACTCACGAAAATCGGCAGCCATAGCCAGACCTTGGCAACCCTGTAATGTCTATTAGTCCAACATCTTGGTCCAACATTGCCTTTTTTTTTGTTTGGTCATTTCCAAAGGTCACTTCTAATGAGAAATGGATCATTTATAGTCCGAACCAATACCAAAGAGGCAAGTCAAGGCTGATTACAAAATAAAATCACAATTAAAATAACTGCTAGCCTCTATTGTTTCAAGGATGGGTTTTGTGACAGGGTTTTGTAATAGAGATTTTAAAAAATAATATTTCTTTGTTGAATTTGCCTGATATTTATGTTTTATACAATTTTTCGAACGTTGATATTCGCATACATTTTCCAAATACAAATATCAAAATATATGCGAATATTCGCGAATGCGAATATCAGATACATCACTAAAGCACCTAGAACTTTGGCATTTCGAAATAAAATCAACTTGTGGACGAGAGTATTTTATTTTACAGCACAAATAAATATTCAGGAATGACCTTAAATTTGCCAATAACAAATTTTGACATCTCATGAAAAAAGTATAATTTAAAAAAAAAACCGGGGGGCAGTAAAAGATTAATATGTACACAATAAATTTTGAATATACACAGTTTTGCATATGCGATATAAAAAGATAATATACATAAAAAGCAAAACGAAAAATAAAGTTTATGAAAAACCAAATCAACTACATTTATTGTAGCCCGATTTTGACGAATGCGGCGGTGGAGATTTCAAATTACCTATCGAACCAATGAACTGCTTTTGGAACTCGTCTTGGTAGCCCAACGATCCGGTAAAGTTGGTTCGCTCTGTGGCGGCCCCGGCGCTCCCTTGACTGGAGCTCGAATTCGAATAGCTCTTGTTCAGCGCGATGACGGACACCGACGACGCTTTTCCCGCCTCTTTTTTCGAAGGCGACGACAGCTTGTGCAACGCTTTCAAACTGTCGATCACCTTCTGCACGTCTTCTATATCGTTCTGAGCGTTCGACGACTGTCCAATATTTATTTCCGCATATTTGCTTTTCAAAGTCTTCTCTAACGCTAACGATTCGGAATGTTCGATCGGAAAATGAAACTTCCCCGCGCTAGTTTCAGAACTCTTCGCTTTGGACGATATTGATTCGGTGAGATCGATTATCTGGCAGTGAGGAGGCTTTGGTATCACAGGTTCTTCCTTACTCTTCGAAGAGTGAATGACGATTACTCCGTTTTCCTTGCACTCTTTCAGTTCGGACCGCTTTTCTATAGGCGCTTTCTCTTTCGTGTTAAGGTTATTATTGCTAAATTTCTCGCTTAAATTTACTGGCGTTATGGTGAGGTTGCTGCCCGCGCTGAAACTGATCACCGAGGAACCGGATGAAGGTATTGGCGGTTTTTGGGGAGGTCGCGAACTGGCCCCCGGATTTGTCGCTTTGGGATTTGGCGTTCTAATGACGTTATTCGCGCAGAATTTCTTCAGAACCGCCATAGATATCCAGCCTTCGGGCCACAGAATCAGGATCTCCTTTTTAAGGTAATCGGCGAGAAGGTTTTCCAGGTCATCTTTCTTCCTTCCTTCGTGCAAGTAACATCGTTTTTTGAAGCTGACAATGTCCCGTATCATTCGTCTGGTGTGTAAAAGATAATTTTACTATAACATAAATTTAAAATGAACCTATACTTACTTTATATCCTCAGTTAATGGAAACCGTCTTCTCGGTGCTTTAAGATTCTTAAGCTCCTCATTGTTAACGGCTTCTTGTGAAAATCTAAAATAAAAATAGTGTAATCTATAGGGATAAGCGATACCGTTATTTTTTGGTACTGTAAATATGAGTTATGTAAAACTTTCATACTGTTCTGTGGCTATAGCTAATGCAGGATATTGTGACTTGTGACAACTCACACTGTTATTTCTAACGAGAACCTCCCAATTAGTGGAATAAATTAGTGGTTTCAATTACACTTTATATTTTTTAGTTTACGATCATTCTTAATGTTTAAAAACACAATTAAAATGAATAGAATATCCTAGCAACAGCTTGGGTTAGTCAGTTGTATCCACAGAGAAAGTCTAATATTTAGCTTATAAAATAAGTTATATAATTAAGAATTAATAACTTTTGATTTCTAACCACAATTTCTCTTGACGGAAGATAATCAAAGAATCAAGACCAAAAATTAATGGAAAAGTTAAAAGATTGATAACTTCTACTAATTGAAAATGTCTACCACTAATTACGAGGTTCTGAATGAAGCTTTGGTCTATCCTATGGTAACTGTAGTAATTTTTAAATGTTCCCTTTAACTATGACGTGGACATCTTATATGATAATTTTAATTTACAGATATTTATAGACGATTAATATGCATAGAAAGTATAAAATATGCTAATGCTACTTTAATATGTCATTAAAACTTACTTCTTTTGTAGTACCCTTTGACATTCCTTCTCATAAACAGTTATTAGCGAGGGCATCAGTTGGTCCACTTGCGTTTTCAACTTTTCTATAGTCTTCCGCAGTTTTCTCTGTTCATCTTCCAGGACGAGATTTTTGGCACGTTTGACGAGGGTTTCCTTTCGACACCTCACGAAATAGGCTAAATGTTCGTAAACTTTCACTCTAGACGATCTTCCAAGAATTTTGCACTTACATTCTAAACTGTAACAATAATACCAATTGAAACAAATCCAGTTTTATGTAACATAGAGGTAATTTGGTTTTTCACAGTTATGCTTGATTTTCATACGTCCGTTATCCGTTGATACAATGGTCCGACGGTGCTCTGATTGACCATGGCGTTCTCGCGCCACTTTTCATCCGTAAATTTTTGACTCCAGCCCGTCAACCGAGAAAGATCGTACGATAAAGCACGTTTTGACACTTTTTTGACAAATTTAATCTAATCTTAATAAAAATATAAGAGTACAAGAGCTAGCACCGTCGGGAAAACGAGAATTTTAAGAAAGCTGGTTCTATAATATATCTTGCTATACTCTCCTGATCAAAGTGCGGGCCGTCGGTAGATTATTATGCGCGTTCACTACTGCGCATCACATCTGTACAGGGTATCCCATTTTCGTGTGTTTTATGGGATTTCCCGTTTATGAGTAGAGATACAATGATGCGATTTTTACATTACTTTCTTATGAAACTAAAATATGCTACACATAGGTTTATTTTCCTAGCCTCCTTAGTTCCTGAAATACAGAGCGAATTTATGATGCGCAGTAGTGAACTGTTGTTGAATACAGATATGATGCGCAGTAGTGAACGCAATGTCTACCGGCAGCCACATCGACCGCCCGCACTCTGTTCAGAAGAGCATAGCAAAAGACATATTAAAGAACAAGCTTTCTTAAAATTATCTCTCGTAAACATTGCTAGCCCTTAGACTATAAGTAAAACAGCGAAATCGTTATGGAAAGGAAAATATAAAATGACACCAATCACAAGCAAATCGTATATCCTATGAACGGGGACATGAAAATGCAATAAATTTAAAAACTGTAATTTTCTAACCAATCAAAGTCTTTAAATTCAACCAATAAAATTAATATTATATCAGCGTATCGTCGGACAATGGATGCATGAAAATCAAGCTTTAATAACCAAATTTTAGCGAGTTAACATAAAGCCTACCAGAAAAAATGTTGCACTAACTTAAGTTTTTAGTAACTATTTTAAAATTTGCGATATTTTTTCATATTTGCGAGTGCACCAACGCAACTTTTTAAAAATCAAAAATTAATTTTGTCACATTTTTTGAAAAATTTTGAATATTGTCAAAAAATCATAACTGCAGGGAAAATACAACGCTTATTATTTATTTATTTATATTCATATATTTTCTTGCTGAAAAGTAAAATAAAAATAAAAAAACTTACTTTAAAAACATGTTGTTGACTTCAGGAGTGAAAAATTTCACTCTTCCTCCATCTTTATAGTTGTAGTTCCTTGCTGTTTTCTTTATGTTTTCTATGAGCTGTACTATATCAGCAGGCAGGTTTTCTGGTAACTTTATTGGCTCTGTCCTGGCAAAATCAGCTTCAGTTTCCGACGTATACTGGGCGATTCTATCATCGACTAGAATAAAAATTTGTTTATACAAAGCACGCAACTAATTTTTTCGACGACTTACTGGTTTTAATAGGATGATTTTCTTCGGGCTTGGTTATTTGGGGAGACTTCGCTACTTTGGACAGCTGTTCGGCCCTGTTGATAACTGATTCGATAGCATCTGCTACACTGCTTAATCTCATTGGCTTCTTATTTTCTTTAGATGAGTCTTTATCTACGTTATCTGGAAATAAAAACAAGATGTTTTGAGGATAAAAATATATTTGTTATAACTGTTATTTTAGCATACCAGAATTTAATTCTGCTGGTTTCTCTGCGGATTGTTCAATCAGTCGCTGTTTCTTAACCTGAATCTTCTCCGTGCTGAACATCTTTTTCTTAATGGCTTGATGCATACTAATATTTGGCTTGTCTCCATTTTTCTTCTAAATTAATAATATAAAAAAACAAATCATACTTTTAAGTATTACTTTTAATCTCACTTTATCTCCTTGGCTCTCCGAACTTCCGTGACTTTCTACTCCGTCGTCCTCCTCGTCTGTACTGTCCAGTGGCCTCTAAAAATAATAAAACATTCATTAGATGACAGTGGTAAAAAGCCTGACGCATCAAAATAATAGTGAAAAATATGCATTTTCATAATTTAATAATAAAAGCATTCTGAAAAGAAAACTAGACTGGACCAACAAAGGATTAAAAATAGATGGAGAATATTTTAACCATCGAGGATTCGCTGATGACATAGTCTTAATTGCCAATATTCCTACTAAGAATACAAATGAACTACAAAGAATACTAAGAACTACAAATACAAATTAACGAATTAAATACAGCCAGCAATAAAGTAGGTCTCAAAATGAATTTAGCGAAAACTAAAGTAATATACAGGGTGGGTCAAATTGGACGCTTTTAAAGGGTAACACCCTTTGATATAGGAGATAGACGAAAACTAATATCGGTGTCCGGAGCTCAATTTTTGTCAAAAACATGATGGTGGAAACCGCATATCGATATCTGTTACCGTTTCTGAGTTACGGGGTGTTTTTCAAAAATGTGCATTTCGATAAATCACTGTAACTTTTTTGCTATGGAAAATTTTGTATTTTTATGAAAACATTTCCAAAGCACCTTTTTACGTAAAATTTAATGCTTTAAATATAATTTTTTAAAATTAATAATTTAAGAATTATCAACAGAAAACTGGATTTTTAACATAGATTTTTAATATTGGACAACCTGTATATTTTTGATTTATTGAAATTAATTTAAATTACCTTTCCAAAAATATAGCACACTTGATATTTTGCTCCATTCTTCTTCGAGATATAGAGTTTATAAAAATTCGCCCACTTTAAATAAGTAGGCTTTGAACGGCGCCGAATCTAATGCAAAAAAATTCTAGCCTGTGAGCATCAATTAACACAAAAATAATATTTGCAATGATAGGTGCAGAATTTTATAAAAATTTAAACTATATTTAACCAACGTCAACACATTTAAACTATATCTAACAATAAAAATAAATAGCAAACTAAGACATGACATTTTGCTACAGGTGTTCGACATATCGACCGTCTTCTGTTATGGACAGACGTGGCCGTTTTTGAACATTTCTCGCGGAATTCATTAACTCAGTAGGGATGAAAGATACCCTGTCATATATTCATAACTGCTAAGTATTTCTAAATCTTGTCTAGATTATACGGGCAATTTAAAAATAAGAACCTTTATTTTTTCGCAAAGATATCCATAGGATTAGATCCATAATTAATTATTCTTGAAATTGGCTGCAAAATTTGTGCCTCGTCTTGCTGAGAAAATATGTCTTCGAGTTCCATTAGGGGCATATCATCAATAAGGTGTCCAAAGTCTACTAGTTAAAAGTGGCTAACTTTTAAAAATTCTGTTTTTCGAAGGAGATTTTAAGAAGATATCAAGTGTGTTATATTTTTCGAAAGGTAATTTTAAGTTCTTTTCAGTTAATGAAAAATATGCAGGGTGTCTCAAATAAAATATCAATTTTTCTTTTGATAACTCTAAATTATAAATTATTAATTTTGAAAAAATTATACTTAAACCATTAAATTCTACGTAAAAAGGTGCTTCGGAAAAATTTTCCATAGCAAAAAAGTTACAGCGACTTGTTAAAAATGCACATTTTTGAAAAACACCCCGTAACTCCGAAACGGTAACAGATATCGATGTGCGGTTTTCACCATCATGTTTTTGTGAGTATGAAGTACTTATGGAAGAAACTCAACTATAATCAAATCTAGATCGCCACTTTATCTAACCCAGGTAATAGATGTCATCCATAGAATCAAATCCCTTAAGTGGCAATGGGCCCCTGCCCACCTGGTAAGAAGGACGGCCAACAGATGAACCACAACAACTACAGCATGGTACCCACGCATGGTACCCAAGAGGCCTAGAGGAAGACCAAGCCTGAGATGTAACCATGATATTAGGAAATTAGCAAGGATAACTTGGGTCTGCATAGCCAACAGGAGACAACAATGGGCCCAACTACAAAGAGAGTATCTAAATATGTGAGGGGGGAGGCTACACCATAATTGGAAATGGTTAAATAAGCTGAGAATGATGATTAATAATAAAAGGAAAATTCGATAATTCCATTAAATACTATTTAATGAGAATCTTAGTAGAAAATTGATTTATTTCTTTATTATTGGTTTTCTTAATGATTTTAATTCGGCATAATTCATTTCCCGCAAATAAATAGGAAAATTTCTGCTTAAATAAAAATCGGTTTATCTTAATTTAAATTGAAGGCAATTACACAAAGTAATAGGGTCATATCCTGGGGTTTAAATTAGCTTGAATAGGTTTTTTTTTCAAGATTTCTTCATTACTTACGAGAATATTTTACTCTGAAACCTTTTTTCCTATATAATTAACTCTTAACAAGATTTGGTATTTCAGGTAGGTAGTCTTTTTTTTCAAACATTTTCGACTTTAGCTGAGATTTGCGATTTGGTTGCGATTTGCCGTTTTGATTGTGATTTTGGAAACTGGTACCGTGATTTCAATCTGCGAGTTTGAATTTTTAGAAGTTGCGATTTGCGATATTGTTGCGAATGTAATTTTGTGGTCTATTCAAACATTTTATGGTAAACTGCGATTGAATTTTCTCTATGATATTATTTGTTTATAGAGAAGGTATTTTCTGATAAAAAAATGAGATTTGGTATGTTAGTATATGACAGGATTGATTGACGTATTCAGTTGTTTTTAGTCACTTTCTTTTTCACCGGAAATGACTACAACTTTTGATTTTTAAATGACACCCTCGGTATTTTTTCTATTCGATAAAAAAATAAGACTGAATAGAATGGCATATCATATGGCAACTTTTGACATTTTCGCAATTTCTTTTTGCGAAAAAATTTCATTTTAAAAAAATCGTATTTTAAATTTCAATCTAGAATGTCATTTGTGTCACGTCATGGCTGTGTTAAAAACACTAATTTTAATCAAGATGCCTTGGAAAAATAGATTCGATCGTCTATTGTTTTTCGCGTCTTGCCCTGCCCAGTTAAAAGATGCCCAACCCGTATTTTTTAATAATATCTCAATTTTTTCAAATGGAACAAGGGTGGCTCATTGACATATCTAGAAAAAAGCATTTTTTTATTGGTTTTTATGATAATTTGGTTTGGAAAATATTAAAATCGCAATCGTAGGTAACAGTCGCTGCGATTTAAAAATCGCAATCACAGTTTTGCTCATCTCTACCCGGTATACAAACCTTTCGTTTCTGTTTGTCCTCCTGCTTCTCGTCCTCCTCGCTACCGCTATCCTCCGAACTGCTAGAGGAAGACACCTCCGACGTGGCCTCGTCATCAGTCTTGAACTCGAGGGCCCCGCTGTTGATGTAGAAGCCGCCTCGCAGCGTTGTGACATTGGGCGGTATGATTTCATCATAGCCGTCGGTGTTATCGATGAAGGAATCCGACTCGTCGTAGCCGGCCCCGATGTCCACGTAGTCATCCTTGCGACCTCTGCGTCGCTTTTTTACGCCCCCGGTCACGCTGGAGCCCTAAAATTTATGTTACATTAGTACTAGATTGTGGTGGTCGTGGGTTAGAAGCAAATGTGTTAAGTCATCTGATCCTAGAGTACCGATATATTCGTTTTTATAATTTTCGGAGCCGGAGTTGTTTTTCGGAACTGAGAATATCGATCAGTACCACGCCTTTAAGGAACCGGGATTTCCCGGTTTCCCCGGTTTTTTCGGTACTATTTACTATCTAATTTTTGTTCAATGATATATAGTTCGTCAATCAGCAAGGCATGGATTTCAAAAGTAAAAGAGATAAAACAATATATTGAATTATTAAGTCATGAGAAAATTAACACAAAAATGAATACAAGCGACGTAAAAAACATTTTACTCAAAGGTAGATAAAATTCACATCAAACAACATATATACCATAACTTAACTAAATTTGAAAAAATGGGTCAAGTGCGAGTCGGACTCGCGCACGAAGAGTTCCGTACCATTCATTATCTATACAACATTAGACACTATATTATTATAAACTTTCTTTCCGATTTAGCTGAAATTTTGATTGCAATTTAATTTAAATTTAAAAAAAAATTAAGAAATACATAACTACAAATTGTATTAATCAATAATAAATATGTAAAAAGTAAAAATAAATATGTAAAAATATGTAAAAATTAGAAAAAAAACGGTTAAAAAAAAGTCGCCTTGACTAGGATTCGAACCTGCCTTACTACGGCTCCATCGTCATAGCAGCGTAAAGTCCTAACGCTTTAACCACGCGGCCACCGAGGACTTGAAAGATTCTATCTAAAATTCTTACTTAAAAGATAATGTTTAGTGAATAGTTTTTATTTATAAACATTTATTTAATTCTGTTTTTAGTATTAATTTGTTCTTATAGCGGCAACATACATACATTATCTGTATAAATTTCAACTATCTAGCTATAACGGTTTATATTTTTACCCTTTAGGTACGGAAAAAAAACGACATTTTTGAATTTTACAGTTTGACAACACGTAGGTAAGGGCATTTATAGGTATATACAGGACCACTTCCAAGTAAGTTAAAATATAACATTAGTAACGCTTGATTTTCATGCATCCGTTGTCCGACGATACGATGATGCGATATTAATTTTATTGGTAGAATTAAGTTGAATTTAAAGGCATTGATTAACCGTTTCTAACCAATCGAAGTGTTTAAATTCAACCAATAAAATTAATATCGTATCAACGTGTCGTCGAATAACGGATGCATGAAAATTCAGCTTAAGACGATGCTTCATATTAGTTTATAAAAAAGCGTTTATATAAACAAATATGACTAAAAAATTATAGAATTTGAGTTACAAGTCAGAAAGAAATCCCTTTTGAGGGTGAAATGGTGCGCCACTGGCTCCAATTATTAATGATTTGGCGCCTTTCAACAGGCGTTTGAACTTGCAGGAAAAGTTACCTCTGAACAAGTGCTTGAACATTTACCTTTGACAAAAAAACAAAATGACAAAAAAAAAATTTCCAAACCTCGCAACTACAAAAATATTTCTTGTCACATTAAGAGTTAAAATCTAGGTATGGCGATAATAATTTAGTTGGAAAAAATGCGAAATGTTATGTTATGTCATATACCGGGTGCGTCTGAAAAGTGGCTCACCCCTATAACTTTTTTATTTTTTTAGATAAAAAAAAACGAGATTTGTTTTTTTAATTCATTTAATAGAAAATGACATTCTGAGTAGAATGACATAGCATATGTCAACTTTTGACATTTTTAATTAAAAAAATAGCATTTTAAATTTTAATTTAGAGTGCCATGGACATAAATGTAACGACAATTTGACTCGAAATATGAAATGTGTGGTACCAAATTATTAGGTAGTAAAAAAAAATATTTTTCCAAATATGCTAAATGCTAATGGGCCACCCTCGTTCCATTTAAAGAAACTGAGATATGATTAAAAATGCGATTTGGGCATCTTTTAACCGACTAGGATAAGACACCAAAAACATTAGACGATCAAATCTATTTTTCCAAGGCTCCTTGATTAAAAATTAGTGTTTCTAACACATTCCAGATTGAAATTTAAAATACAATGTTTTTTAACCGAGATTGTCATTCTGTTCAGAGTGTCATTTTCTATAGAATAAAGTAAAAAAAATACGGAGGGTGCTATTTAAAAATCAAAAGTTGTAGTCATTTCCGGTGAAACAGGAAGTGACCGAAAACAATTGAATACATCAATCAATCCTAATTTATGTCATGTACTAACATACCAAATCTCGTTTATTTATCTGAAAAAATAAAAAAAAGTTATAGAAGTGAGCCATTTTTGAGACGCACCCGGTATAATATTTTACATAGCTTCATAAAGTTTAAAATCATTAACGTTTGGGTTTACTTTTTATTGGTTATAGAAGTGAATCGTGTCCAATTAATTTATTTTGACTCAAAAATACGTAGTAGTTCTATCACAGGTTCAATGTCCATGAAATATGAGGACGCTCTGTATATTATCACGTATGAAAGAAGATTAACATCAAATGTATTTTCAAAATAACTTGTTTATTGTAAATATAATGTATCTTATTAAATTATTCATATACTAAATATCAACGTCACAATTAATTTAATTTTTAATTTAAATTAAAATTCTACTTACATATTTTGCTTCCATCTCAAGCGCGATCCTACGGACATCATCATCGTTCTCATTATCGAAGGGATCCGCTCCAGCTCCTCCATTCAAGCTTGATGACGGTTCTTTTAAACCCTGTTTTATTTTTTTCTGTAAAAAAACAAAACAATAATAATCACACAATAACAAAATGCTATTTCAAAATTAATCAGGCGACTTATTTATTTATTTATAGCACTGCAAGAATATTTTTAGATATAGACATTTTCATTTCGAGTTTCGACCTCTCCGTCCTCTCCTAATACTTTTGAATTTAATCCCGCCAAGAATGACATCATCACCGCCCGCCCTACTTTAGAAACACCACGTGTATCTTCTATTCTTTTCTTGCGTTATTGTTATGTGTCATTTTCCGTCTTTGTCCGAAACTGTCCTATGGGATGGGGAAAGCGACGTTGCCGGAATGCATATGCATAATTCTTTGGTAGGTGTACAATAGAGATCGATGGTTTTTCTGTCTTACAAATTAGGATAATAGTAGTATTGCAAGTTGTAAATGTTACATATTATTAAATTTACTTTTTAGTAACTAGATTTCCCCCGTGTATTAAATAATCTGTTTTTCGCTTATGTAATCTTTATAAAAACAACAGTATAGATTACAAATTATCACTACATATTCCCACAGAATATCTTTATATTGTGATATTTCAAAAACCATGATATTTTATATTAATTCTATAAATTATATAGATAATACCTTATGATCGAAAAAGAAAACGGTGACACGACACACGACGAATAACAATCGATGATAATTTTGGCGATGTCAGTCTCTAGGCGCCATTTACTATGAATTGGCATAAACATTAGCGTAACTAGCAATATATCCTGGGGGGGGGCCTGGGGGGGGGCTGTGGTTGAGCCCAGAGGGGACCTAGGGCTTTTGTTTTTTAAAAATGAAAAATAATTTAAAACAACACATTTTTTGAATAAAACGTTTTCATGAATTTCTCTATCAACAAACTTCATAAACTTGGTTATCAAACCGCGTTCCCGTAGATTACTTAAATACCTACAAATTTTCTAAAAAAATAAAAATTAACACATTTTTTTTTTGAACACAACCTGTGACACAACAAAATAATATTAACTAAACAAAACTAGAAAACGCCATTTTTACTGCATCACAAGCAAATAAAAATTAATACGTAGCCAAGAGTCATAATTCAGGATTTCTCTGGGGGGTTTCCAGCAGTACCTGGGAGGGGGGGGGGGCACTCCCGGACCCCCTGTAGTTACGCCAATGGGCATAAAACTTGTTAAAAATTATCACTAATTATAAACAGATTAGAAAAGGATAAAACGTTTTCAGACGGAGAAATAAGAAATGAACAGTTTTTGTATTTAGAATATTTCAAGATTTTTAAGGTTTCACAGATATTCGTGGTTTTATATGTATTTCATATGGCATTTTCTACAGTAAATTTTTATCAAAGCCGCCCATTTTTCTGTAATATTTTACCGTTGAAAGAGCCACATGAAATACCGCGAGTCTTTGCGAAAAATCTTGAAATACTCTAAATACAAAAAATGTTCACTTTTTTAATTCAACATTATTAAAAAAAATAACCTACAGGGTGCTCCATTAAAAAAAAAATGAAGAAAAACTATTTTATATTTTAGAAAGTTTGGCGTAGAATTTTGAACACCCTGTAGATTAAGATTACGACATTTACAGCAAAATAAGTACAGACCGTTTAAAGTAAATACCTAATATAGTCTTGATTTCAGGACAGTTCTTGTATTTTTAATAATTTCTTAAGAAAGGCTGAAAAATATATATATTTTTATTTTTATTAATATCTCTGAAACTACCAAATATATTTACTCATATCTTACTCATATCTTAGTATTATGTAAAGTGATCTGAAAGTAAGCCTAAACTGCAATAATATACAGTGTGTTTCATTTAAAAAAAATTATCCCGACCCACTCACACTTTTTTGAGACACCCTGTGGAAGTTTGAAATATTTTCTTGAATTCCCAAATTTTTAATTCTGGGAGCTACAGATGCCCGACGCACTATTGCCGGACCTTCTATAAACGAATCAGTTGAACAAATGTGCCAATATCCAGCACATTTATTTAAAAAAAATACAGCGATTTTAAAAAGTAGTATAAATTGTACTTTTCGTAACGTCTGGCAACGTTGCATTATTCTCGAGCGCGAGGAACCCAGCATCGCTCCGCTTTTTACCTCTTCCAATTCTCTGCTCTCCTGATAAAAACGCGCCATTTCGTTTAGATAACAATGTGGGATATTTGCACTAAAATAAATTAAATTAAAGAAAAAACCTATGTGAAAACATTAATATTAAATATTTTGCATTTATTATAAAAAATATCCAGCTTTTCATTGGAAAAGTTAATTTTCACGAGCGGTTTACAGTTCTTCTATGGGATTTCCTTTCCACACCTTCGCGTTTGTCCCGCTAATACCCCGCGAATAGTATCACAAAAATATCGCATAACCGGAAAGACTTATCAATTTTATAATTAGTTTAATACAAACTTGTTTTTCTATTCATCGAAATAACGAAATATTTTAATATATAATAATTCGATCGATCTTCTAATCTTGAAATACTTTTTATGAAAAAAAATGTTCTGGCTTCCTTGCCTTGTATAAATTAATTTCTCCTTTTATGCTGATCGAATTTCAGTTAAAATATGTTTAAGTAAACCACACAGACAACCAATTCTAACATATCTATCTAACTTTCTCCCCTTAATATGAATGCTACTTTTCAGTTAAAAAATCTTGTTATTTAACTTTATCCTTTTCTCTCAAAATGCTATGAACAACATATCTGACAACACCGGTAGAGTAGCCGAATGACAACAGGGTATTTAAAAAAATAGATATAAAATTGCTCGTGGCAGTAATGTTAAAATTTATTATTTCTGTAATAATAAAGCTGCTAAAAATAATATGCTCTTCAGTTGTGTGCACTGACCTACGTGACCAGCGAAAGGCTGCATATGGCCTTCCTGACGTCAGTAAAGGGAGTAGCTATTTAACTATTCCTGGTGCGATTCGAAATGGGTAAAAGGACATAACCACAATCGATTTTTACCAAAGGAGCCCTTGCTCGTGGTATCGAAGTGAGTTTTACATTTCCGCAGAAGTTTTGGAAGTCGTGCGGCAACGTCCGCTGTTAGATTTTTGTGCGTCCGTTTTGCGATAGCTTTCGTTGATGAAAACCGATTTTTTTTTATTAAATAAGGTTCAAATATGGCGTCTTGAATGAAAATCGTAATTAAAACACGTATCGAGGTTTACTTTTCGAGAATATCCTTAAAATGATGTCCGACCAACGGACCGCAAAGACACCTCGTCTTTCGCACCAACTTATACTATATTTGATTTTCCAATGGAAATAAGCAGTGACAGCGCCCTATTTTCTTTGTGGTGGGTCCCACACATATTTCGTGACCATTTTCTGTCACAAGTTTACCTTTGCTGCTGCTAGCTCGTCCTTATAGTTGTATTCTGGACACTTGTCTTCGTTTGATTCGGGTAACGTTACACATATTCTCACAGACTTGCACTGTTTCTTCGCTGCCTTATCATTCACTTTTTGCGGTTCTAGTGTCGTTAAAATTGCACGTTTAATGTCTGACATATTTCATTACACAAAATTATTAAAATAACAGGGTCCGGCTTCTCTCCAACATGTTTAAAATGCACTACCCGCACCTCATACTTCTAAACAAGCAGATTCAAGTAAATTCGCGGCATTTGCGCAACTTTTAGCGCATTGCATGGTATTTGAATCTTTCTCATGACAGGAATGCGACCTACTTTCATTTCTAAAGATCAGTAAGCTATTTGCTACAAGGGGGCACCCTAAGTAGTCAATTTATACATTTAAATTTTCAAAACAAATTATTTAGCATTACTAACAAATAAACTGAAGACACTGAGACAAACAATTATTTTCTGTTTAATAAATTAGTTGGAATATTATTCAAGTATTCTTAAAAAGACTACCTTTAAATACTACTTAAAATTAAACCTATCTCAAAGAAATTTAAATAAAAATTGATCAGCGCCACCTATGTCCGAAACTCTACAATTAAACATTTTAAATAAATTGAGGAAAATTGGAATGTAATTATTAATGCAATTAGGTATTTCATTAATTAATTTAATGTAATTCTAGGCAGTTGTACATTATAACATCAGGAAAGTTATTTTAAATAATTATACATTTTTGAAATTAAATTAGTATGATGAAAAAATGTTTTTTTGTAAAACTTATCTCTTTATAAAGTAACTTGTATTTTTTAGTGCTATAAAAATCAGATATAAATATACCAAATCACAAATCAGAAACTACACACGCATTTTTGTCCAGAAAATTAAGAAAAATAATTTGTAAAAATAACTTAATAAAGTAATCTTTAATTGTAAACGCACCTTAACGTCAACGTCTATCAATGTCAACTGTCAACATGATGTCAAATGTCAACTGGCAATTGTCAAGAAAATAAAAAATTTTGGCTGCAAATTATATCTTGAAATTTTTTATTTTTACCATAAATATTTCACTATGAGTACAGATTTTGATAGTTCATCTTTTTCCGGACTTGAAGCAAAAGGAGGCGATAAAGATTTACAGGAATTTCTTATGGCTGAAAAACAAAAAGCACAGTTTAATGCCCAGGTAAGGTTATGTCACATTGACTTAAAATTTATTTTTATGAAAAACTGAAAATGGTATGGTTTTTGGAGTTTTTTGAATAAATATTTTCTGAAACTTTAATATTTTAATACCTAATTGTACATTCTGGAATATAGCTTCAAAATTATCTAAATAATCATATTTATATGGTTATTGCATGACTGTAATTTTATGTTTTTTTCAGATACACGAATTCAATGATTTTTGTTGGGAAAAGTGCGTAGACAAACCATCAAACAAGTTGGACAGCAAAACAGAAACTTGTTTGTCGAACTGTGTAGATCGCTTTATAGATGTTTCATTACTTATAACAAATCGATTTGCACAATTATTACAAAAAAGTGGAGGAATGTAAATATCGTGTAGATAAGGTGTATGTTGTGCGTCTGTAGAGCTATTTCTCCCTGTTTCAATAAACAAAAATGTGAGTTGTTTTTACTAGACATTTTTATTCTTATTTATGGGATTTAGATTATATTTTGTACTTGTATATAATTCTTACATAAATATAGTGTTTAAAACATAAACAATGTACTTGTTAATACCACAGAAACACCCATTGTTATTTGAATATATAACTAACGGTAATTAATTAAGAAATATGTTAATTTTGTTTGTTTTTTAAATTTTTTCTCAATACCTTCTGAAATAAAGCCCTCTTTGATAAAGTGTAAAAATATAAATATAATCATACAGATATCTGTATATGGAATATCAGAGTTTTAGAGACTCATATGCAGATGGCACCGGCAGAGTCTGGTAGATAACTGTATAATTTCTTCTAATAAAAGGCTCCATAGATGTCGGTGGTAATCAATACAATATATAGTTTAGCTTCTTCGCAACAGATGTCCCGAAATGTGTATGCTACAGTAGTTAACTGTATAATTTAGTTTAGGTATATTATTCATAGATGTCGGCAAAAACGCATAATTTTAAAAACTCGTTTATAGATAGCGCCAGCAGTTTTTACTATAATAGTTAACTGTATAGTTCCTTTTAAGAAAACGCTCAATAGATGTCGCGACATACCAATATTATAATTAATTTAACTACTTTGTAACCGATGTCACTAGAGAGCTGGACGCTACAACAGTTAACTGTATAATTTAGTTTAAGAATGTTTCTCATAGAGGTCGGTAAGAGAGTTAATATATTTAATTATGTTTTTATGCACTAGATGTCACCAAGTGTTATATTAATTTGAATTAGTATATAATTAACTGGTTCTTTCATATCAATTAAATCAATCTATTAACTAATTTAAATCTCTAATTCTATTAGTAAACAATCAATTGATCTGTTCATAAGACAATATTTTTTAGAAGCCTTTTAGCAATTATATATATTTCTACTTGGTTTTTTAGAATTAGAGATACATCATAAATTATGTTAAGCAAAACTTAAGTAAAACAACAGATCCTTCACATTAGTTGCTTTATTTGTTTCATTATACCACAGTTATACTGAGACTTTCGTTATACTGAGATTCTTTTTCGTTAGTATGGAATTCTTTTTTATTAACAAATATATTTATTTTTGTTTTCTCTATATTATTATTTTATTGATTAACATTGAAAGCAATTTTTAGATTGTAGAATATTTTATATGTCATATAAAGACTGATAAAAATTTAACATATTGGAATGTTTTATTTGCAGTTTCCAGCTGAAACAATTTCGAGTGTTTTCCAAAAACTGTCAAATATTTTGAAGTAATTCAAATTATGTGTCTTTTCAAATTATTCCTTTTTTATTTTTTCTATTCTTTTATCAATTTTTGGAATTTGGAATGTTTTATTTGTAGCTAAAATAATTTCGAGTGTTTCCCCAATAGAACGTTTTAAAGTACCTAATTCAAATTTTGTTTAATGTCAAATAAAGATTCCTTTATAGAAATTATTTCTTTCTTTCTACTTTTAATAAATTATGCTATAATTGTTTTGAGACAATTTAATATATTGTTTTCTCATAATTTTTTTATACAGGGTGAGTTTCCTACGATGTTCTCTATGGGTATCTCGGAAACTACTGGAGATAGAGAGTCGGTTAAATGGGGAAAGAGTTGCAGTTTTGTGGGGTCATAAATATGCGCCTTTCAGATTTTTGAAAAAGTTCATGGCTTACTAGATATTTCGAAAAAAAACAAATTTTGGCTATTTTAAAAATTGTCCCTAATTCCATTATAATCTATTTTAGACAAAAAGTTTTCAGATAAAAGTTGTAGATAATCACATCCCTAATGAGATCGTGTTCTCCGACTTTTTCTAAAGCCTGTCATTTTTGACATATGACACAAACATATGTTTTTTTAAATGGAAACCATAGTTGGCCATGACTTCATAAAAAGCGCCATTTTTTAAGCTTTTCAGCGATATAAGCTATAATATGTTTCTTTCGCAAAATTACTGAGTTATAGCCAATTCTTATCTTTCTTGACTAATTTCACTTAGTTAGCCATGGAAACAAGTTCAATCGTTGTTGCTCTCAGAAATATGAAATTGTCACATCCAATTTTTTAGAGAACGGTTTTCAAGACATGTTAGAAAAGTTAAATTTTGATACTAGCGCATTAATAGAGTGGTTCAAACTTGACAAATTATGACACACTAACCCCCCCCACAATGAAAGAAATGTTAAAAATTATTTATATCATAATTATGTAGACTCAGGGATAGAAAGAGGTGGACCAATTGCATGGGTCTCCTCGGTCACTTGACCTATCCATTTTAGATTTTTTTTATGCGGTATGGGTAACAACAAGGTTTACAAAAGAACTTATGAATTGAGGGAAGCACTCGAAGAGGCGAAACAGGAGAAGTTTAATTAAGTCGACCGGTCGTTCTGTGAGAATAGCTAGAAATTCAGTTTTAAAAAGATGCATTTATGTACTCAAAACAATTTTGCGGATTTTTTGAAAATTTTCTAAAATAACTTGTAGTGATATTATTTTTTTAAGTTTTAGTTTGTGTAATGCAAATTGTAAAGAGCCGTTTAATAATATATTTTGTCTTTTTATAAGTTATAAATCATAACAAAATTAGAACACTATTGAAAACCGTTCTCTAAAAAACGTAAGTAACTTTCACCGGTCAACGTATCCTCGAAATTGTATGGCCAAGAAAATTTGAACCAATAATCCTACACGCTTTTCTTCATTTGAAAAATTTTTATTTACAATTTTTGTTTATTTTAATTTACAAAGATCGGATGTAACAATTTCACATTTCTGAGAGCAACGACGATTCAACTTGTTTCCATGGCTAACTAAGTGAAATTAATCAAGAAAGATAAAAATTGGTTATAACTCAGTAATTTTGTGAAAGAAACATATTATAGCTTATATCGCTGAAAAGCTTAAAAAATGGCGCTTTTTATGAAGTCATGGCCAACTATGGTTTCCATTTAAAAAAACATATATTTGTGTCATAAGTCAAAAATGACAGGCTTTAGAAAAAATCGGAGAACACAAACTCATTAGGAATGTGATTATCTACAACTTTTACCTGATCACTTTTTGTCTAAAATAGATTATAATGGAATTAGGGACAATTTTTAAAATAGGCAAAATTTGTCTTTAGTAATAATAATAATGAACTTTTTCAAAAATCTGAAAAGCGCATTTTTATGGCCCCACAAAACTGCAATTCTTTCCCCATTTAACCGACTCTCTATCTCCAGTAGTTTCCGAGATGCCCATAGAGAACATCGTAGGAAACTCACCCTGTATAAAATATTTTTATATTTTAGAAAGGTTTTTTAATAATTTTGAAAAAAAATTTGAATTCGCATTCTAAATTCTAAACCTCAGATCGCAGCTCAATATGGCCTAATGACTAAGAAAATATTTAAATTTATTCTTACTCAGGAGATATGCTGCCATCTGCCCAAATGCTTACTATTTTATAGAAAGGTGAGTTACGAAAACCAAAAAGTTTGGATAACGAATATGATAAATTCATCTTTTTATATCTTTTACAGTATAATAATAATAATAATAATTAGGTACCTATTCTAAATATCGGAATTTGTCAATTCTCTATTTTTTTATTCGGAAATAAATAAAATATAGTTCAAATCAAATAAACTTTTAGTCACGTGATTAAGCTTGACCGGCACCGTCGTGTTGCCCACTTTTACATATTTTCTTTTAATCAGAATATTTTAGGAAACAAAAATAAATTAATTATAAATATATAAACAGTTATTATTCAATTAGCAGCATTTAAGTTAAGGTAACTTAGTAAAAGATTTTACGGCTATTAAGTTATCTTGTACCCACACTTGTGCCTACGTACCGGCACTAAAAGAGATTCTAAAAAGAACAATGTTCGACTGCAAGATCTACTAGTAAATTTTTTAAATATAGTGTAGAAATGAATACTCACAAGTCGAGTTTAAACAAATATAATTAACAATTAATCAACTTAATACATCAACAAAAATATTAAAACACTCAAACACGTTTCTTATTTACAGTCCCCGTTTCTACCAAACTATCGATCGCCGGCACGTCAGCTGATCTCCGACCTCGCCGGTAGTCGCGGCGTTGCCACTGTTCTCAGTATCGGTCTATGATACTGCTACATCCTCTCCTTTGCTTTCGAGATTTATTAATCCATCAGCGTGCACGAAGGGTCTGGACCAAGTTTAATCCTTAGCTTTGGAAGAGGTAGACCTTGTGGGGAAGTGCTTTCATTTTGGGCTTCTTCTTCACTATTGGAGGATGTTGGCGGATGTGGAGAAATTCTTTCGTCTTGGGCATCTTCTTCACTGGTGGGGGACGTCGATAACTTGGGAGCGTAGAGTTTTAAATATGCGATATTTCACCGTATTGTATTGCTTGTTGTATTTGATTTTAAGGTAACATCGCCTTGGTGTTTATTGATCACCTCGTATAGTTCATTTTGATACGGTGTACTAAATTTGTTTTCCTTTCTCTCTGCTCTTACTAGAACCGTGTCTCCTTCGTTTATATCCGATGTCTTTGCTCGTCGCCTTTTGTCAGCAAATTCTTTTGTTTTAGATTTCAAGTTTGTGTCGTTATCCTACACTTCACAGTGGTCAGGGTGTTGAATTATTTGTTCACCAATGGATGGTATTTTTGTTCGAATAGCGCGGCCAAAAAGAAGTTGCGCTGGAGAGACGCCAGTTACAGGGTGTGAGGTATTTCTATCAAGCCGAAAGTAGTTTTGAAGGTCCTTTTGCTAATCACTTCCTGAGGTACTTACTTGCACTTATGCGGAGCCTTTTTAGTATTGAATTGTTTTGTCTTTCGACCAGTCCATTTGCTTGCGGCCATTATGGTGGGGTTGAATATAATGTAATTCCATGTTCCTTACAAAAACATTTAAATTCATTGCTGATAAATTGTCGGCCATTATCAGCTGTTATAGTCTTGAGTAGTCCTAGGAGAGAAAAGAACTTCCGAAGTTGTTCTGTTGTATCCCTCGAGGTGATTTGTTATGGCGATCACTTCTTGGAATCGACTATAATAGTTAATGATTACTAACAGGTAGATATTGTTAGGCATTGGCCCACAGAAGTCTATGGCTATGTCATTCCAGGGGGTAGTAGGGAAACTTCTCATCTTAAGGGGTTCGGGTATGTTCGTTACGGTGACTAAAGCACACCCATGGCACTGTTTTACATATTCGGAATATATCAATATATTTTCGGCCACCAGGCATAGGCTCGTAGTAAGCGTTTCATATTATCTCTTCCTGGGTGTCCTTCATGACTTAGTGACAATTCTTTGCCATGTAAGGCCGTTGGCATTACAATTTTGGTGTGTCCCCGTAGAAGTATATTTTCATGAAAACAATATTCTGTTTTGAACGGTTTATAAGTTTGTATTAATTTTTCAGATTCCCACAACTTGTCATCGTCTAGGCATTTCTTAATGTGACAATTGTCACTTTATCAATCCGAAGATTTTGAAGGTCCAAACGGGTAGAGTTGGCCTAATATGTTATTGTTCCCGGTACTTTGTAGGAGCACATGGAACTATAAAGTATTTTTCGGATTAAACGTCCATATTCTTTCATGACTTTTTAGATGAACATCCAAATGGCTCAAACATTATGCGTTTTCAAGCTAAATATACCTAGATTAAAAACTTTTTTCCTTAGTTATTTTGTTATTACTGACGGTGGACTAATATTTTAAAGTTTGACCCCAGTTTCAAGCAAATTATTATTATTTTTTTTCATGAGTTTCTATTGCAAATAATATAAAAATTTGAAATATTTTGAGAGGCGCTCGAAAATTTTGTCATATAAACCCACTAATTTATTCAGAAAAGTCGATTGCGTTCTGGAATTTACCTACAAAAGACCTTAAAATCGCAGGATAAATATCGAAAAAAATAATAATGGCTTCCATAATAATTTTCCATCATGACATTTATTTTTATGAAATGTGAAATCGCCTGAAGAGGTCGCTGCGAATAAAGTTTAACAGTTTAACGAAAGTTCCACATGTCATGTCGGTGGAAAACACTTGGCTGCTACGAACCCGCGACTAGGCAGCTTCGTAGCAGATAAGTAGCATCACCAGTAGACTACTTTATAGTAACACATCATAGTAACTCTTTTAGTGGCAAAACTACCCAAGACACTACCCGGCTACTCAAAATCTTTCTCAATTTTGGTCGCAGTTACTTAGCAGCTACGTATATACGACGTAGCCGCCGTAGGTCACTGCCCACTTTGTGGTGGCTTTGATAGTAGCAGTTACGTATCTGCCACCTGTCACTATAAATGCTAGTTTGGAATTTATGTCATATACTAACATACCAAATATCGTTTTTTTTTATCTGATAAAAATAAAAAAGTTATAATTGTGAACCACTTTTGAGACGCACCCGATATATCAATTTGTACATATTATAAAATTTTGTTACCATTGGCTTTAGACTCATTAATATTATCACAAAAATTCTTTTAAATGATATTACTTTATTAGCTAGACCAGTGATTTCATCCTCTTACAGAGTAAAATTGAACCCCTTGTAACATTGTTGAAAAATCTTAATTTTTAGTGATCAAAACTATATATTATAACTGGCTATATTGCCATTATATCTAATAATAAATATATAGGATAAAAAAAAACGGCATCAAAGACGGCGGGGGAATGACCCTCGATGATAATTTTGTCGAGGTCAAGCCCTATAGATGTCGCGTCAGTGTATTTGTTGTACCACCTGAAAAGTTAAATGGTTTTGTTGGTTAGACAAATTTTATTACGAGTAAAAAAAGCCATTGACAAACTGGGTTCCATTTGGATTCTAAAACAGTGGCATTTTTCAAAAAAAAATAACTTTTTTTTTAGATTTCTGTTTCAGTCACGGACTACCCAAGTTTTTTTCAAAAGCATCTGCATATATCTTTTATAGGGTTTCTATACGTCCGGATTTACCCAGACATATCCGGATTTTTAAAGTGTCTGGGAAACCTGACTGCAAAAACAATTTAACTTAACATAAATATTTTACCAGTTACAGTTGAGTTAATTTCTCAGTTACTTTGTTGAATATTTTAGTCCCTACGATGCTACTGCTCTACTTAACCAGCTCTACTTAACCGACGCATGTTCGAAAGTAGCCATTTCTATACTTTCGCATGGCTTAATACTGCATGAAGTGGGATGCTTTGAGTTTGTCATGCTTCAAAATGAAAACTTGTAGTTTTTCATTGTTCGTTTTTGATATTATAATATAAATCGAATATACTCATCTACATCATGTGTAAAATTACATTTGCTTACCTGTTTCCTTAAACGATATGCGAATTGCTCTACTAGTTCCCCAGTGTTTTGGCAGAATCCAAAGAATACATGTCGTTCGTAAGCAGTGCTTCGTTTCGGAGATATATATTTAATCGGACCTTTTTTAAAAAAATAATTTTATTTTTCAGAAACTATTTGAGACTGAGTTTACCAAAAAATGTTTTTTTATATCTACTAGTGGGTAAATGAATTTTTGGGTTGAATTTTTCAACTGCAATGTTCCTACATTATTTTTTCGACGGTTTTATCGACATTCGCGCCAGGTAGTATGTAGAACAAGTCTTGGAGCTCACTTCCACCATAGTGTAAGAGTTTTGCTCTTTTTTTTAACATCAGTTATGGAGTTGCCAGAAAATATATATCCAGACTGCGCTGCCATTTTTTTGCCAGTCGTCGTGCATTTGGTTTTATTTCCCTTTGTAAATCCATGTTGTCAAGTTGCCTCTGCAATTTGACAAACAACAATATTGGCATTTGGGAATTTGTTTATTACCAAATTATAACGATTTCATTGGTTTTATGCATGCATATTACGCTTTACATAGTTTTATGCATACATATTACGATTTACATTGCATACAACATTTTATGCTTTTATAATCTTTTATTTTATGCATACATATTACGCTTTAGATTGTTTTATGCATACATATTACGCTTTATATTGTTTTATATTACGATTTACATTGCATACAACATTTTATGCTTTTATAATCTTTTATTTTACGCATACATATTACGCTTTACATTGTTTTATGCATACCTATTACGCTTTATATTGTTTTATATTACGATTTACATTGCATTTTTTTTACATTGCATACAACATTTTATGCTTTATTAACGACATTTTATGCTTTTATCAATCGTTTAGATATTACATTGCATACAACATTTTATGCTTTATTAACAATATTTTATGCTTTATCAATCGTTTAGATATTATTTATTTAGAATACGTAACATATTGCATACTCTTATGCATATTTGAACTCCACATTGCATACCTTTTATGCTTCCCCCTCTTTTATACACATACATATTATGCTTTAACAACTTAATGTTTATTATAGGGACCCCAAACATATGTACATAAAGTAACAAGTAACATAATATTGCATACCTTTATGCTTAATTAAAACTTTGTTTTGCATACATTTCTATGCCTTCTTTCCTTTTCATCAGTGCATACATATTATGCTTTATTAATATAAATTTAATGCACCAAAATCTTATTTTGTTTGGTTAAAAGTCGTAACTGTCGTAAGTGCATTATTTACATACCTTTAGTTGTTTATCCTCGTCGCCAAAATGTAGAAATGAATACTCACAAGTCGAGTTTAAACAAATATAATTAACAATTAATCAACTTAATACATCAACAAAAATATTAAAACACTCAAACACGTTTCTTATTTACAGTCCCCGTTTCTACCAAACTATCGATCGCCGGCACGTCAGCTGATCTCCGACCTCGCCGGTAGTCGCGGCGTTGCCACTGTTCTCAGTATCGGTCTATGATACTGCTACATATAGTATCACAACATACATTTATTTAAACCAAAAATTCCTAATACAAAAGTAAAGTGTCTAAACGAATGACAATGGCAGGAAATAAATAAATTAAATGTGGCAACTTGACGAGCTTTACAGCAGAGCTACCACCTGAATCCCCAGCGGGAAATTTAAATTCCAGTTAGTCAGCCCGGTGCAGAATATGTCAACAATGGATTTAAAAATCGCGTCCTCGTTTATGTAACTAAATTTTAATTGGTATCGACTATATGTTGTTATGTTATATTTACATTCATTGAGTATTTTTATTTGTCTTTTGAAGAGTTTTGTTTTGATAATAACATTTTTGGAAAAATTTTGTTTTCTCAAATACTTGTTAAATAAATATATCCCTTGATATGATTATTTTAATATATTTGGTCCTTATGTATGTTAAATAAGTATTTTACATGAAATCGCTTATCAAAAATCAAACATTGCAATGGATTAGGAGGTCGACTCACTTGAAAATCCTATGATTTCATTATTATTGTTTAAAAAATTTAAGTTCAGGAATGTTTTAGTGGAATTGTAAAGATTTTATGTATTTGTTAATTTATTAAAATTGTTATAAAATATGTGAAAGATGATAAAAATATATATTTCGTATTTTCCAAAAAAATTGTTTATTACTGTTTATTACTAAGAAATAGCTACTGAATGTTTTTGCAGAACTGTCAATTTTGATTTGGATAATAATTAGGTAAGTATACGATAACATAAAAAAATCTTCAATGATACATAGATAAAAAATAATGGAAATTTTCAGATATCTTATCTCGGGGTTGTTAATAAATTGGGAAGTATATAAATAAAAATCAACTAATAATGCACAAAATATTATCTCTAACATGTCAGTATTTAGCATTAGTGTTTTGGCAGTGGTCTTACCCATTGCCCAGGTGCTCGGGCACGGGTACATGGTCAACCCCATCAACAGAGCTTCCAGGTGGAGGTTAAACATAACTAACGCAGAAATACCTCATGACTATGAGGACAATCAATTTTTCTGCGGAGGGTATCAGGTATGTTCCTATTTACCAATAATTCATATAATAATTAAATGTGTGTTGTTGATATACAGGGGGTTTCAAAAATCATATGTCATCTCTCGTGGGGAGATTCTTCACGTAAAAATAAGGATTTTTTTTTCATATCAATTCATAGGTCCGATTCTGCTTTGTTTCGTAGCTACAGGATGTTAAAGTGTTATTATTTTTTCAATTTATTATAATTTTCTTCCAAGTACTTTTAGCGTTTCGAATAATATTTTGAGGATAAAAGTTAGTGTAAATGAGACATATATCTTCAATAAAAATAAAGCCATCGTGATGAATCAAAAAACAAACTATCGAAAAAAGACTAGATGATAAAATTATTTTTAAATTTTTTGCTTTGTTAACCTATTCCACAGGGCGTTTCAAACCAAAATATCAACATTTTGTTTTCCCTCGTATAATTGACAGATGAAAAGTCATTTTTAATTTAATAAAAGATAATAAAAAGTCAAATAATTTAATTATAAATTGCTTAAAAAATAATCAAAATCGGCCGATTAGAACAAAATATATTAAACTTTAAATTACATCAAAATTTTAAGGTGCCCGTTTTTTGTGCCGTGAGTAGTAATTCTTTATTTATTTATTTATATTACACTGTGGTACTGTGGTAGTACATCAAAAAGAAAGTAGTCTCATATGTATAGTTAATAAAAAAGTTTTTCCTCCTGGAAAGACTATTCACGGACATACAAGGACATAGAGGTATCCAAAATATTATTTAAATAAAACTATGATAATCGCAAAACAACTTCCGAGTGACGTGACCAAGTTTGAGTGACAAGCGATGGCGGCAGCGCTGCCAGATTGTGATGGATTTATGAGATGAACCTTAATTTAAAAGTGACAAACAATATATTCATTATATCATTTTTTAAAAATTTGTTTTTTAGCTTATTTTACTTATTACATATTGGCAAAAACTAAAAGATTATTCTAAGCTTTATTATAGGTTATTTATTTATTTACTGATGTACAACGCCATAAGTGGTAATAACAAGTAAGAGAAGGTGCTATTAATGCACGAACAGGTAATCACAGAATTTAATAAAAACTAACGTAGAAATAACTTTGAAAGTGGTGTAATGTTCTTATCAATCAAACTTACTTCTCTGACTGCAGTCAAGGGTAATAAAAGACCTTTATTGTCACGATCTCGTTCAAAATAGTTTATTAGGGAAGCAACAAGCTCTTTGGTTCGACTTTTAAATGCTTCGGCATTTTCAACACAGAATTTAAAGAAATGTAATACAAAAACTCGAAAATTTAGATCTGAAAAGAACTGTCTGTGCTGTTAAAGTACATTTAAACAAAAAAAAAACTATGAAAATATGCAAAAATGGAGAATTACTCACAAAGATTCAACAACAACACGACATTATACGAAATAATGATTGACATTAGGATAATTGTCAAATAATAAACGACAACCTTGCTGAAAACGGCACAATGTGACCAACGTAGCGATAATAAAATTCGGTTTAAACTAATTTTTGCAGCCTTAATCTAAATAAAATATCTGTTGTATTTAACTTATAATATTGTATCTATATTTGCTCTACAAAGTCAAATGAAGAGCTGTTTGGTATCTTAAATTATACAACAAATTTAAACATTTTTGCCAAAATTTCATTTAGTCAGGTTTATAAACTTTAGTGGCAATGACAATATGATTGATGACGTGCATCGGAAAATGTTTTGCGATTACTTTATGTATACATTTATTTATCCAAATAGAGCGACTTGGGAGTCGCTATCTCATGGAGGGAAAATCAAACTACTTTCAGTAAGTATATTTGGGTAGTAGCAGTAGTAGGCACAGTAGTAGGTACAACCTTTCAAATAGTGGAGATTGGTGATAAGTACGAAGTACATTTCCTGTAGTTGTAAAAAATTGATGACACATATTACAAGTACATCCGAGAGGTCACATGTATGATGATAATATTATATTTTTAAAATCTTAAAAAGTATTGACATTTTTCGATATTTTTTATTCAAACCTTGACATTGGACTGATGTAGTACATGTTTATCAAAAACACAATTATTAATTTAGCATGGTTTTTATTTCCCACGTCTTCTTCTTAATTTTGTTCTGACTTGTGCAGTTAGAATACAATTATTATTATCTATTTCAGGTGCAATATGAAATTAATGGGGGTAAATGTGGACCATGTGGAGATAATTGGAGTGATTCCATACCAAGAAACAATGAAAATGGAGGGCTTTATGGCCAAGGGATTGTAGTAGCTGAATATGCCTCCGGAGATCTAATAGAAGTAAATGTTCAAATCACAGCTAATCATAAAGGATTTATTTCTTACCAGTAAGTCGTACCCTTTTTGCTCTTGCTGTGTAATATCTAATCAGTTGATTGAGACATATCGAATATATCGATTTTCGTTAACTTATAATATTTTAACTTTAAAAATGTTCGATTCATAATTTTATCAATTCTTATTCAGGAACATGTTTGCCAATTTTAGATATATTTTATTTTTTATCTGGAAAACTATAAGAGATAGATATCGCTTAGTATAATATAAGAATTGAGATTTGAAAGTAATTTCCAAAAATATTATAATATACAGGGTGTTCCATTTAAAATAATAAAGCTGCTACACTTTAAAATTATTAGGTAGCACTGTAACGCTGATAATATTTTAGATGGATGGAGCAGGTGCCTTTACGTAAACATCCAAATTTTGAAAAAAAAAATTATCACCGGTTTCATCCATCAACAGGTCTGTTCGTTTTCCTGTTATTATCGATTCTGAATCGTCCTAGAACTCTCCAGCGCATGCGCAAATGAAATAATGTCTTCATATTTCCTTCTGCGCAGACGCATCACAATTCTAGGACGGTTCAGAATCGGTAATAACAGGAAAACGAAAAAAGCTAACATCTAACGTTCTTACCATCGCCTTAAATCACTTTATAATCATAGATAAATGAAACAAGTTTAGATTGGAAAGTGCCCATAGATACAATGTAAATACTATTTGGCGCTATTCTTCCAACGGTCGCGACCCAAAGCTTTTGAAAATTTCGGAACGGTTGTTTCAATTATCTATGCGGAACGGTTTGGCTTTTTCCGGAATTATATCGCCAAATATTATTTATTTATTTTTATTATTATTTTCTTTTAATTTTATAAATAAAATACAGTGTGTTGCATACAAGAAACTTTATTTTATGTAAGATGTATGAAATACCTATGAAATATTGGAAACTAACGTTATACCACGAGCCACGATGGTTTTTTGCAGTTCACAGCACAGCTTTTTAAGTTTTTAATGCCACTTTTTCACAATTATCACGGGTTTGAGTAAATAAAACTTAAATTAAGCTCACAAGATAGCAATAATTATTTTGAAAATGGACGCTTTAAACAGTTTTTGGAATTTTTTTCAATGAGAGCGGTTTAGATTTTGAAAGATCTTATAATTTTTGAAGATTCTGACTTTGACAAGAGATATGGACAAGTGAAAATTATTTGTGTTTTTGTTTACGGTTGTTCTTAGCAACCGCTATAGCAGCGCCAGATCGCGTACAACGGTCGCGACCCAAAATTTTGACGAGCATTCCAATCTATATTTATTTCCTTTATCTATGTATTTATCTTAATTTGTTTGTTTTAAATGCTAATGCATAGGTACGAAAAATACAAAGCAACATATTGAATTTACAGGTTGTGCGAACTTGAGGATCCTACCCAACCCGAAGAGGAGGAATGCTTTCAACAGCTCCAATTAGAAGACGGAAACAGTACTCAAGCCATCCACTCCGACGACTTCGAGGTATCGAGTATCGTCAAATTACCGGACGAGTTCGTTTGCGATAGATGCGTACTTAGATGGCACTACACAGCAGGTAAAAAAGAAAACAAAGAACTTCTATTATCATTTATTACCTTAATAAAAAGAAGGGATATATCTGGTGTATCTTCGATTTATGTATATGGTTTTCTACTTATATTTTGTTTTATACAGGATGTCTCAGAAATAAGTGCAAGTATTTTAAGGGGTGGTAGATCTCGATCTTCGTGAGAATGAAATCATTTTTTACAAGACGAGACCTTAGTGCGGAACTCAGAACTCGAATTGCCAGATGCTACGTCTTCTCTGTGTTACTCTACGGATGTGAGAGCTGGACACTGTATTCACAGACCGAAAAGTGAATAGAAGCCTTCGAAATGTATGTGTACAGACGGATGCTGCCAATCTCATGGGTACAAAGGATCACCAACGATGAAGTACCTACTCCAGCGCATGCAGAAACAAAAAGAGATACTGAACATGTCATGTGATGAGAGCTGGTAGATACGAAATACTGCGCCTCATAATAGAGGGCAAAGTGCAAGGGAAAGATCAGTACGAAGACGCCAGAACTCATGGGTAAAAGATTTAAGGAGATGGTTTGAACGCTCGTCTGCGGAAATCCGCTGCAGTTTCCAGAGCCACAATTGTCATTTGGATCGCCAACCTTCGGCAGGAGAGGGCGTGATAAGAAGAAGAAGATCTCGATAAAAGAAACATATTTTCTCGTTATATATCGTTTTTCGAGTTATTTTACTTTGAAAATTTCCAAAAAAAATATTTTTTGCTAACATTTTGAGAACCACTGGATCTTTTCTGGATTTTCTTTCTTGTAAAATTAATCTAATAACTATATTGCCATATTATCAAGAAATTATGTTTTTTAACTAAAAACTAACAAAAACAAAAACATTTTCAAAAAATTTCGAAAATTTTTTCGCGAAAAAAACCTCATAGGCGTGTTTCTGGGGTTGAACTATACTACCAGTTAAAATACTTGCACTTATTTCTGGGACACCCTGTATATGTAACAGTAAAAGTCGGAAATTCAGTGATTGATAACATTTATTAGGAAATGCTAACAATTACGCATTGGACCCGTGAATGGGGTATTTTAAAGAGATTTGTTGACTTTTCCTAGTAATTTCTAACATTCACTATAGTGAAAGTAACATTTACTAAAGGTTGCCAGAAAAAGTTACTCTATTGTACAAGACGAGTGTAGTGGTCAAGAATGTTGGTGGAAGTTAGAATAAATAAAACTTAAGAATATTGGATCGCCTCAATATTCAAGGTAATCCACATTTCTTAAAATTACAATTTACTTCTTTAGTATATTTATTAAAAATTATAGAAAATAACGACATATTATAACCTTCTAAATATTAAAAGAGTACAACAAAACAATTTAACAAAAAACATTAATAAACATAAGATTACTTATTGGTACAAGGCTTTTCTAGTAAAGTTCTTCATCGTGGACAAAATAAAGTAAATCCGAATTTTCTTCAACGGGAGTTCACCGTTTTTTCAAACCCGCTACTTCAAGCATATCAAAACGTTTAATATGTTCATAGTTACCTACTAGTGTGCTACTAGGTTCTTTAATATCTTTTTCTCTTACATGCTTAACTTTTGCTATGACTTTACTATATTGCAAAAATGAAAAACAACCACTATTACATTCTTGCTAGTACCTAGTTTACCTTAATTTTTCACAGAAAATTTCTTCCATAGAGAAAATACCGCACAGCACTTTTTACAACGATAACAAAACAATTATACATAACCACAAAAAACAAAGCGAATTTACGCCAGTTGTCTGTCAACGTTGCCAACGTTTAGCTCAATTTCATTACATCCTTAAAAGCAACGATTCTTTTAAAAAAAAATCGATATTTTCTATGAATCAAATCAAATCGATGTTCTTTTAATATGACATTGTCTCTGCCAGGTAATAATTGGGGTACTTGTGACGATGGTACTCAGGCAGTTGGTTGTGGACCTCAGGAGACGTTTCGGTCATGTGCTGATATTCGTATTTATGCTGCCAAGGAGTCATAAGCATTTACATTCATCCTAACTGTTCCTTTGTATTTATTTATTATTTTTTATAAATGATTTTTTATATATTCAGTGTTGTTTTATTAAAAATATTGCAATTTTTCTATAATACTGTTACTTTTTACTTTTTTTTTCGTGCGCAGGAAAAACAGTGTCATAGATTGGAGTATACGAATATTTTTCAACTTATATTTGTTTGAATTTAGAGTGCATATTCTTTTTTAAGCAGAAATGATACAATTAAAAATGTTCGTTAATTTAAACGCATTATTCCATTTTCTCAAGAAATGTCTTTATTTTAACGTTTCCATATAAATATTGTATTATTACGGATTCCGTGGGTCCACTATTTAAACTCACGATAAAATACTTAACGAATTTATTTGTTTCACTCTGTACACAACTTATACTATTTACAACACAACTTATGCAACTACTATTACTCTAACGGTATTTCGCGGTATTTTCAAACTTCAGACTTAGACTTCAAACTTCAAAACTTTAAACTTGTCCAACTGTCAAAGCGCGGGCCTTATATACCCCCTGGCGGTTGTTTCTAGATTTTTCTAAAGAATTCTATAATTTTCTTTACTTTCTGGCGAATGCGCCAGGTTCCTCAAGGCACGTTGAGATTGTTTAGCAGTATGCAGTTATGCAACCAGTAATACACCTTGACATTGCCCCCTTCTTAAATTTGATCGTCCCGATCAAGGTTTCCTGTCTGGTATCTCTTCAATCGATCCAGATGAACTACTTTCATCTTACTTCTAGGGCTGCGTTGAATCCGGTACACAACATCATTTACCCTCTTGATGACTGTATAAGGACCTTCCCATGCTGGAGTTAACTTTGGGGACCTCCCTTTCTTGCGCTGTGGGTTATATAACCATACCATATCGTCCTGTTGAAATCCCGTAGAATTGGCTCTGAGGTCGTAACGAGCTTTCATCCGGTCACTGGCTAGCGTAATCTTACTTCTTACGGCCTTATGAATTTCCATTAACCTTTCCTTCAGTTCATCCGCGTAGTCCTCTACATTTGTGGTGCCGTCGTCTGGTGATCCGAACACCAAGTCACAAGGCAACCGTAATTCTCGACCAAATAAAATCTTCGATGGTGAAAGTCCGGTGGTGTTGTGAACTGCACTTCTATACGCCATTAGGAACAGCGGTATGTGTTGATCCCAATCTCTTTGATGTTCGGCCACCATTTTCGAGAGGTGTTCTTCAATGGTCTTATTGAATCTTTCGACCATCCCATCAGACTGCGGATGTAAAGCTGTTGTCCTAGTCTTGTGAATACCAAGCAGATCACACATCTTCTGGAACAGTCTTGACTCGAAGTTCCTTCCTTGGTCAGTGTGAAGCTCTAAGGGAATTCCAAATCTACTGAAGACATTATTGACCAATACTTCAGCTACAGTCGATGCTTCTTGGTTTGGAATGGCAAAAACTTCTGGCCATTTACTGAAATAATCCATCGCCACTAAAACGTACTTGTTGCCCTTGTGCGTTTCAGGGAATGGGCCTGCAATGTCAACAGCGATTCTTTCGAATGGCAGTCCAACGTTATATTGTTTCATTTTTCCCCTAGATCGAGTGCTTGGTCCTTGGCTGGCTGCACAAATTTTACATTGTCGACACCATTTCTTGACATCTTCGCAATAATCCACCCAGTAAAAGCGATCTCTCAGCTTGCTCAAGGTCTTGTTTACCCCAAGATGGGCTCCAGTTTTACCACCGTGAATTTCTTCCAATACCTGGGTAACTTTCTTCCTTGGTACCAGTAACTGAGTTGTTACTGTGCTGCCATCCGCACTTTCCCATGTGCGCTTTAACAATCCATTCTCAATAACCAGTGAATTCCACTGAGCCCAGAGAGCTTTGAAAACGAGCCCTCTGTCCGCAATATCCTGCCACGGTGGTCTCTCGCCGTTACCTTCCTTGAGCCGTAGTATTGCTCCGATGTCTGGATCTTCCATTTGATCTTTCCTCAATTGTGTCGTCGTCCACTTTTCATCGGTTCCAAGCTTAAAACTCCTTATCATAACAGTGCCTTCGCGTTGTTCCGTTTTACAGCAGTGCTTACAATCGATTTGACAGGGTCTTCTGGATAAACCGTCTGCGTTACCATGCATCTTTCCAGCACGATGTTGGATGGTAAAGTGATACTGCTGGAGCTTCTCGAGCCATCGTGCTATTTGACCTTCAGGTTGTTTCATCTCCATAAGCCACTTCAGAGCCGCATGATCTGTCCTAATTAAAAATTCTTGGCCATACAGATATTTATGGAAATGATCAACTGCTTTTACAATTGCTAGCAGCTCCTTCCGGGTAACGCAGTAATTCCTTTCTGGTTTAGATAGAACTCGACTGTAATATTCTATCACTCGTTCTTCGCCATGTTGCACTTGTGATAGCACTGCACCGATGCCGATGTTGCTGGCGTCGGTATCCAGGATATACCTCCCTTGTTATTGTGGGTAGGCTAAAATAGGACTTGAACATAAAGCCGCCTTGAGTCTTCCAAAGGCTACATCACAATCGGTGTTCCATTCGTAGCCGACTTCATCACCTGTAAGTCTATGTAAGGGTGCAGCTATATTGGCAAATCCCTTGACAAATCTTCTGTAATAGGTGCATAAACCCAGAAAACTTCTAAGTTCATGTTTGTCGCGAGGTTTAGGCCAATCCTTGATTGCAGCGATTTTCTTCTGGTCAGTGTAAATTCCGTCTGCTGAGACTACATGGCCCAAAAATTCCACTTGTCGCTGGAATAAGCTACACTTCTTCGGGTTCAAGTACAGGTGAGCATTCCGTATGCGGCCGAAGACTTCTTCTAGATTTCGCAAATGCTCCTCAAAAGTTCTTCCCATAACCAATACATCGTCGAGGTAAACCAAGCACGTTTTCCAAGTTAATCCTCTTAACACCACCTCCATGAGACGTTCGAAAGTGGCTGGAGCATTGCATAATCCAAACGGCATGACCTTGAATTGGTATAGTCCGTTTCCTGTAGAAAAAGCCTCTTTTCTTTGTCTTCCTCGTCCAGACCAACTTGCCAGTATCCACTCTTTAAGTCGAGAGTGGAGAACCAGCACGAACCTGCCAGTGTGGTTAACGTGTCGTCTATACGTGGCAGTGGGTAGCTGTCCTTCTTAGTGACGTCATTGAGCTTCCGATAGTCCACGCAGAATCGTGTACTACCATCTTTCTTCGTCACCAAAACAACAGGAGATGACCATGGACTCGATGATTCTTCGATAACTCCATCTTCTAGCATCTTATCTACCATTGTCTCCATTTCTTGTTGTTTGGAAAGGGGCACCCTTCTAGGACGTTGTCGAATCGGCTGAGCATGACCAGTATTAATCCGGTGCTTCACAAAATCCGTTTTTCCACTGTTGTTCTTCTCAAAAATACTGCCATGCTTTAGCAGGAACTGCTTGGCCTTCTGTTTCTCCTCAGGTGTTAGGTGATCCCATGGCTGTTCTAGATGTTTTAGTGTTTCTTGGGATGCCTTTTGTGTAACAGCTGACGACACTTCATCACATCGGGTGACACTTCTTACAGGTTCGCAGATGGCTATCTTGTCACCTTTTTGGATCTTGAGACAATTCGGGAAAACATTCGCAATTCTGATCGGTATATTCTTGTCGGTGTTCACCAATGATTTTCCTACTAAGTACCTATCTTGTTTCTTGTCGCCACTTTGTACCAGTCCAACACAGCACCCAGCGATTTTCTCCACTTTACCGAATACGATCTTCTCGGTATTACCAGGTATCACCACAGTTTCCGCTGATCTTACATCCATTCATCCTGGTCCCTCGTCTGGAGATAACATAAACTCTTCATTTCCGATATTCAGGATATTTCTCTGGTGATCGAACGAAAATCCATGTTGACGAATCACATCCATGCCCAAGATGAAGTCATCTTCAATATCTGCCACTAAAACGCTATGCTGGAACTTCAAATTTCCTAACTTCAGTTCGACGATAGCCTCTCCCCGTACAACGGCCATTTCCCCCGTAACTGTACGTAAACACACTCTTCTTCTCAGAGGCATCAGTTTCAATCCTTGCACTGAGTTAGCCCGCACCAATGATACCATAGCGCCCGTGTCCACTGTCATTCGGATTCCCTTTCCATTGACTTTCCCGTCGATCACCAAACTGTCAGCGGTTCTTCCTAGACTTCTAATGGAAAAAATCCTGGGGGCTCTGTTCTCCCCAGTCAATACTTGCCCCTTAGTATTGACTGATTTTAGTTTTCCTGGTGCCTACGTTCTCTGGATGGTGAACGGGATCGTATTTGGACGCGGCAATCCCGTTTGATGTGGCCACTCCTGCCACATCTATAGCACCTTATGTCCTGGGATCTTCTATGGTTCTCTGTCTGGGTGTTGTTGCTACTCTTGTTCACTAGTAACTCACATAGTTTACTAAACATCTCCTCCAAACGTATGTGAGAACTTCCGGGCTGTTCCTCGACCGTTACCGATCTTATCTTCGGTCTAGGGATGGTGCTAAAAGCAGCTTCAATTTCCAGCGCCCTGACCAGTGCTTCGCTGCTGGTAGAAAATCGGGATATTTGCAGCGCCCTCTGTAACTCGTTGTCCCTCAGTCCGCTGATAAAACACTGGGCAGCGAGTTCCTCCCTAAATCCTTCCGGTGCTTCTGGATATGCCAGATGTACCAGCCGACGTAAGCTGCTTCGAATTCCTGCAGACTCTCTCCGGACCTCTGCAGGCGTGTCTTGATTTGGGCCTGGTAAAGTTGACGTCGATGTTGGTCGCCATATCTTCTGTCCAGTGCAGCAACCAATGTTTCGTATTCCTGCTGTTGGGCTGCAGGAATAGTTTGCAGCAGTTCCAAGGCAGGGCCACGCAGCGCGATGACAAGTGCCGCTGCTTTGTCCTGGTCGGACCATCCGTTGGCAGCGGCGGCTGCTTCAAACTGGCGGTGGTACATCGTCCAGGTGGTTTGTCCATCGTAGGTCGGGGCCTTGAGGTTTGCAGTTCCAGGAACGCCAGGTGT